AGTTCTCAAGTGGCGCTATTGGTCACAAGTCCGATGCAAGAAGTTCTTCAGAATTGAACTTTTGTATTACTGACATTGAGCCGACAAATAAGCAAATGTAAATACGAAAATAAACCAGTCAAAACTGTGAAAGTATCACTATTCAATCACAAGAATTTTGAAAATTGACCGACGGAGAGGATTTTGTATGCCGCAAGTTTTTACGCAAGTTTAAACCACAAAATTGCCTAGCAAAGGAATGCGAACTTAAATTATCACTAATAAAAAACTTCGTTCAAAGCTGTTGAGAAAGACATCATATTTAACGTACCCACAGATAGGATATAACTTCTTTACCGATGTAAGAATGAAAATGAGGAGGACTTATGTTTATATATATCTGTTGGGCTTAAAATATTTCATGAGTACAAAATACTTATAAATGATGCCTGATCTGCGGCTCACTAAAGGCCAGAGACACTCTTTCGTATAATCCTTAGAATGCTAAGTATTGTTACACGAATCCCACATCCCAAGGAAAGTTACCTTTTCAGTCGTTAACAGGCGAAAGATGTTGTAGAATCATAAAATTACCTTTTGCAAGTTTCCAGTGTGAAGGCATTGCAGTATATATTTTAAAGAAAGAGCGAGCCATGTACGATGTCAAACTTTTATGTTTCGAGCGCGAAATGGAAATGGTGAAAAGAAAAGTTTTCTTTAGAAAGTTGTTTTTTCATTTGGAAGAAGTCGACGCAATAAACAACGTGTTTAGGTGAATCTTTTTTCGGTTCATAATCACTGTGGGTGATTGATTACTTTTGCAATAAGGCTAAACTTGTTCTCCCTTGCCTCTCGACTGCCTCTTTTGTAAAGGGCAGAACTTTGGCTTCTTTTGCACAGCTCTAGGGATTTTGGTGAGACATCTCGTTGAAAAGTACAATAGACGAGAAAATGGAGTAGGTGATTAAATCATTGATATACCGCCAACCATTAAATCCTTGGATCCAAGCGTACAACATTTTGGCTGGCATAAAAGCAAAAAACCAAAATAGTTACATTGTTCTGAGCCATGCTTTCATAGATTTAATTCTTGAATAGTACGAAAAAAGAACATGAGCAACAGCAATAAATTATACAACTCCGATAGGCGAGATGACATCTGATGGAAAAAGAGGTAAAAGTTTTGAATTTTCATTGGACAATAATTTGAATAAACTCTCGGCCAAAGATCGCGAACTCTACTACAATTATCATGACACATGAACTCAACATGATCATGATAAATTCGCTGGATTTGCTCACTTTCATGTACTTTAAAATCACTTCTAAAATAGCGGATTTATCAACTTTTAAGTTTTATTAAGCGGAGTTATTGGAAACCAAAAAAAAAATTCCATAAAATCCTTTTCGCAGTTTACAAGACTTTCACAGATTGACTATTCGTCCTGAAGAAACAGAATGATTGGCTTGCTCCAAAAAATGAAGGAATAAAATGACCGCAAAAGACAACAAACAGATTTTAACTTTTGCTGTATGATAAAACAATTTGATCACCTTTCCCTTGTAAATCTTAATTCAGTGATGTTGAGTGCAAGTTCAGCCAAATTTCTATCAATGACTCGGTTTTAAAATAGCAAAAATAGCTCGGTGTTAATTCATTATTCTTTTCCGATGAGAGCATCAGTGTTAACGCTTCTAAAGCCCTCTTTTCTGGACTATAATTGTATGGTTTCTGCACTAATATCCAACAGTGATTTATCAGAATCGTCAATCTGACCATTCTCATTCAGATGATGTTATTAAAAGATAGTGGTGGGTAGGAAATCTGCCTTGATAGGAAATGGGGAAAGTGTAAATAGTTTTGTCACCATCCCCTCTGTTCAAAAGATCTCAAACATGGTCCTTAAGGTGACAGTTGTTGCCGGCCGTAATAGATCACTTCAGTTTCAATATATTACCCAGTAACAATAACTATTCTAAAGCTTAATTTTACAAACTTGTTCAGTTGCTCTCAGACAATTAGGAATAAAATAAGGTTTCTGAAATTGGTAAAAACGGTAAACGTCCTGCTTGTTTCTCAAAGTTGCAGAGAATCCTATTTAGAATAAAAATAAACTGCTCAGAATTTTAAATGGAGTTTTGTAAAATACATGCAATAATAATAATTTTATGCCAATGTCTTTGGAAATCAACGTTGATCAGTTTCTCTCAGGTTGTAGGCTCCCTAAACTCAATTTCGCTAATTTCCTCAAAACAAATAAACCGAATTTCTGACGTATTAATTACCCGAAGCTCATTCAAAAGGTTGCAGAGATTTTCATGATAAAATGCTGGCCATAAGGCTTCGTTTAATGTCCCTAAAAAATCAATTTAAAAAGTCATTATAACAAGTTAAGTGGCTCAATCTATTATGTAAAAATGACGACATAAAATTCTATTGATAAACATGGTTTCTCCGACAACCGTGATCCATATTAATAAATTGAATTCCTTACAATAGTAAAACTAGAGAATGAGAAAAGTCGATTTTTCGAAACAATAGCCTCGCGCTTCTAATACCTTAATTCCATTTAAAGTTCTCAATAGCAATAAGAAAGTCTTTTGTCTGCAAAACAAACATAGTGCAGATGGCTGGCGTGTTAAAGCTTCTTTAGAGCTGTTGTAATTATAAGCCTAAATTGCCTAACCTCGTATCTTAACAAGATTTTGTAAGGTAAGTTATGGCTTACTAAGATTTTATGAATAGCTGTAACGACATTTAATTACCAATTCATTGCTCATTATAATGCTATTAGCGTGTTCATTTATCTGTTTGATCTTTAACTCTGCAATAAATCTGAGAACATCATCGCTGGCTTTTGCCACTTGCGTTGAATTTCGAGCAAGAACCGGTTTTCAAAAGAAATGGACCTCAAACAGTCGGAGAGTTATTTTCGTGGCTACATTTTTCTCCCGTGCTGCAGCGAAGATCATTCGTATTTTCGTGGCTATCAACCCAGTTGTTACCCCACACAAGTTCCAAAATGTGACGACGCCATTTTACAAACAAGAAGTGATCATCAGTTGCAACCTACTCATATGTCCCAGTTTACCTCGCACAGCGGTGAATACGGCCTGTTATTGTCTGCCACTCAGAGAAATACACATCCACGGCCAAATGAAATTTGCCGACATAAGCTCAGCGTGGAAAATTTGCCTGAGAAGCCATTATCGAGAGGTAACCACGTGAAATAATAGTTTCAATGTCTTTTTTTTTTCTTTTTTTTTACATCTCTTTTGGTTATTTACCTCTCAGACTAATTTTGCAGGCGTTGAAAATTAATTAGCTTTATAATAAAAAAAAATACGTAGGAGTGACCTTGTAAAAAACCACACTTAGCCTTCTACGCTTGTCTTGGACAATTGAAAGTGCAGAAAAACTCGAGAAACGAATGATATTAGCCTGGAATGAAAAAAAAATCGCTCTACTTTTCTACTTACAAAATTTATCTTGAGAGAGAGAACGTACGACTTTTTATGATCGGAAAATAATTTTCAAATTAGGTTATTTATCATTCTCTTTTTTCATGTCACTGTGATTTTACCAACGGCAAAACCTTAATTGAGAGAAAAACGTAAATTATGGAGCTCTTATTTAAAGAAAACACAAATGCAAAATGTCTATAAATATTTTGACCTATAACCCCTTGAAATTGGAGTAAGATCAGGTGCATATTTGTTGCCATTGTAGCCAACAAAGAACTTTCTTCCTCATGTTTGTTATGGCAGATTTTCGCGAACGCCTAGGTTTGAAAACGGAGGCTGGCTGCAAAAGGAAGCGAAACCGCACAATCTTCACCACAGACCAGTTAGAGCGGCTTGAAAATGAGTTCGACCGTCAACAGTACGTGGTTGGTACTCAAAGATTTTACCTCGCTGCTGACCTGGGGCTGAACGAAACACAAGTTAAAGTCTGGTTCCAGAATCGCAGAATTAAGTGGAGGAAAGAGAATCTGTGTCATTTGGGAGGCTCAAAAAGAAACACTGAGAATTGATAGTAGTGAAGCAGAAAACTTAAATTTGTAGATAGAATCAACTGATCTATGTAATTAGATAGTTGTGTCGTTTTTAAGAAAAATGTAGAAAGCAAATTAATATCGTACAATGTTTTATAATAGTACGAAATTATCTTCAAGTTAATCAAAGATGTTATACGATGATCTGTACTTGTTTCCAGCAGCTTTCAACAATTTTTTTCTACAGCTTTCTGCACTTGTTTCCAGAAGCTTTCAACAATTCAAGTGAATCATGTTTTGATAAAATTTCAACTCAGTCCACACACTTCCTCTTCAAAAATGTCGCGCCTGACTAAAAATTTGACCACTGTAAGACACCAAAAAACTGATTTATCCCGCCTTGCAAAAGCCAGTAAGTGGTGAAGTAGAATAAAATGAAATGAAAGAGAAATATCGATTAGTGGATAGCGTTTGATTTGGGATCAAATCCCGTAGCTTCATTATAATACTGATATCTTTTATAGATAGAAAGGAGAGGTCTTAGAAATAATAGTGTTAATTCATCTACATTATTTCAAGAATAACTTCTTAAAACCGCAGTTCACATATATCATTTTCATATATTCACATTTATTATCAAAATTTGTTTGCATGTCGCAAAACTTTATATGAGGGTTGGGGAACTATACGCGTTCTGCCTGTCTCCTTTCCAAGAGATGTGGTTCTATGCTATACCTGGCGAACTCTGAATAAGCGAGCGGGCTAAATTAAAGGAATAAAATGAATATACGAGGTATTTCATCATATTTTATCATTATCTTAAAAAATTAAATAGCAAAGTATGAACGAGGGACGACAAATCTACATCTACAAAAACTAAACCCAAAGTTCGCCATATGTGATCCACGTCATTCTTCTCCATTTTAACTCATCATGATTTTTCTTCAATTCATTGTTGGTTTTTTTGCTGTTTAATGGTCTAAAACATTTTCATTTTCAGGTAGGCTACTTTTAGAAGCGTTTTTTATCGAGCACCCTTTAAGTTTTGCCTTCGAAATGATATATCCCTTCGAAATCAGGACTCAACTTGAGTTGAGTTGTGAGGTACCGTCTTAAAACGCATGAGATTTAGAAGACATGGTAAATGAGACAATTCACGTACTCTACTTCGATATCAAAATCCAATTTTCACGACTAAGATCGCGAAAATTATCAACAGAACTTTGCTTGTGAATGAGCAACACATCTGACCCGATACTCCCCCATGGGGAGGGGCAGGGGCTGTTGACGTTACAGTTGTTTCTGTGGGAGTAAGGACAGTGGTTTTTGTTTCCACTTTGATTGGTAAGACGTTCTGCCTAAACTGGTAACGATAATTTCCAGGAGGAGAATATCTAATCACCAAAACGAATCTACCATCTCTTCTGGTGGCATATGCTGCTCCAATTTGTTTTGTGTTTTTCCACACAATCTGTAAGAGATATTTGAAAAACAAATTTTAAATGATTTTGTAACTCTAACTTATCGATAAAACGTCAAGAAACTGTAGTTTCCGGTTTAATAGTGGCATAATGGCTCTTTTTTTTTTCTCACCATTTTCATTGCATTACCGCAGTAGGGTAGGACTAGAACGGAACATATGTGATCCATGCGAGTAGTCCACCCATTAAATCCCCCCACCCCACGCCAGGGGAGGACATCCATCACACAGTAATCTCGTGCGTGGGAAATTAACGTCTCCTACCCCTAACCCTGTAGGAGACGGGACCTCCATTTATTCGTCCCTATCCGAGAAGAATAGAATATCTAACCATTTCTTGATGTCATAGAAAGGTAGCATATTCTTCTCAATTATTTTAAGACCTTGAGTTTTGGTCCGGCCGGGGCTTAAACCCTCGACCTCCCGCACAACAGTCCAGCGCTCTATCCATTGAGCTAACCGGGAGGCGGTATCTTATGCCACCTTGGCTCTACCAATCAAAACTCAGAGAATTGTAACTCTATCTTATCAATAAAACCTCCGGAAAAATGATACAGTTAAAGTAACTTCCGGTTTAGTCGTGGTATAGTGGCCCATATACCACCTTAGCTCGACCAATCAAAACTATAACAATTGTTACTGGGAGCAGATGAATGACACGATAGCAGCGCGACAATAGTGCAACTCCATCTTGTTGTCTGACAATCGGCACGTGGGACCACGTTACGCTTCTGTTGAATGCTTATCCACAAGACTAAAACCGCATAGATCAATTGATGTCAGGTTACCGCCAAGCACTTCAAATCCCTTGTGGAAAACTTCGTTTACCGATGACAGAGGATACGCCGGGAAACGGGACTGACGGTTGTAAAAAAGATCGAGTCGCGCTGCAACTGTAGGGTGAACTTGGTTGGAAATACAACCAAGTGAAACATCCCTGCTCCTTGTGAACTACATAATTGAAATTCACCTAACCAAGAGATCAGTTTATATTCTCTTGACATAATTCCTTCTCACCACGACAGTCAAAGTACACACACATTCCTTGAAAAATCTGTAATATTGTTACATTGACACATGAAACGAAAGGCTCTCTGACTGAGACGAACCATTGCTGACTTTTGTCACCAGTTTGTACGTTCAATTACCTGAGTGAAGTGGCCTGTCTTTTGAGAAAATCCTGGATTGTTGTAATCATAATACTTTACTTCATCGTAGAAAGCCTTTGTTGCAGAGGTACAGGGTTCCATGGGCTTGTGAGAGGACAAATATAGGTTCTCTCCAACTGGGCTGTTTGGAGCGTGTTGAAACAGATTGTTCTCTGCCAGATGGGTCGCCCAGGATTGCGCACCTTGAGAGAGGTTGTCACTCCAGGTTACGGGGCCGACCTAAAGTTTCCAAATGAAATCTTAAAAATCAAATGCTGGTGAAATTTTAGAACAGTCGGAATTCGAAGTCTTCGAGCTAATGGATGAAAGGTAATGTAAATGGATAGGAATTTTATTCGATTGTTTAGATATATAACTACATTACCTTCTACTCGTCCACTGGGATCACCAATCGACGCCCAAGCTCAGCGAATCTACTACCGTTTAGTTGTATAGCTCAGGTAGTCAATCCAAAATTGTCAGCATAGCTATTATTCTTTAAATTTTAAAACTGTTCAATTAAAGGATTAATTTGGAAAGTTTTAAACTATCCTATTGAATCCTTAACTGAACAGTTTTGAAAAATTGAAGAATAACAGCTTGACTGAGCAATGCCCAATTCAACTGACTAACAATATATTTAATAAGTAAGAGGACTATATGCTTGTCCAATTTTGGAAATAAATGGATTCAGAAAAATTCCTCCAACATCCAAATATAACTCGGCCTACGGCCTCGTCCAAATTTTGGCTGTCCTCAGAATTTTTCTTATTCAATTATTTCCAAATTGGACGGCATATAGTCCTATTACATATATAAATTATGAACTCGAGATTTCTATCGCTAGAAGGTTAATGAGGAGTTTTGAAATAAAGGTAATAATTATTTACCTGGTGCCTACTGCGGAATTCGTTGTGCCATTTCACACACTGATCTTTAAACGGTAGAGCTGCATTCACTGCAAATAATGAAAGGAAAAGAAATTATTGAAGAATAAAGGAAAAACAAACAAGCAAAATTAGAAACAAAAACGAAAAGAAAAATACACAAACGCGAAAGAAAAGGTGTACAATTTGATATAAAAGAATCGATCGATGAACCGATAATGATAAAAAACAAAACAAAACAAAACGAAAAAAAAAAACACGAAAGAAATAACACGTGAAAGAGCAAGGCCTGAAAAAAACTTGTGTTGGGAAAACATCCACCGATCGATCGAGACGTAGACGAACGATCGAGCAAATTATTCTCAGAAGGAATGAGAGGAAGTATGTGAATATATCGTGAGAAGGTTGCAACCGCAGAACAATTGCATGTCAAAAGTGGCTCGCCTGCATAACTTTGAATCATTTGAATATCGGGAGTAATTAGTGAAATAGGAACAAACCGCTTGAGGCAATACCAAATTTGGGCGGCTTCAAGTGGGTAAAGTGGGCTTTGTAGAACAAATGTTCGCCGCGGCAAAACAAATGTTCAATCAAAGCAAACAGATAAAGGCCGATAGTTGACGAAAAGCCAATAAAATACCAGCTCTCTACTATTAGAGCAGTACTGCTTTGTTCCCAACTCATCGGTTAGAGAAACAAAACAAAACATTTCAGCTCCTAGTTTTATTTAGAGGAATGCGTTTTCCGTCAATTTTCAACTTTACTTGCGAATTTGAATCTTGAAAACTAAGGTACAGTAAAAGAAACATCGCAACAATTAGAATTTAAGCTTCAGTATATCGGCTGGTTAACATACTTCACTTATCTAAATAAAAATTAGAGATTATGGTTATACAAACAGTACGTGAAAATGAACGATTTTTTTTTAACAGAATCAAAACAATTAACTTGTCTGCACACGATATAGCAAATGGTTCATTTAAGAGTTTAAACAGTTGCCATTGAAAGTAGACCTAAACTCTCAAAAGACTCAAATGAGATTTGAAAGAATCTTACCTTTTCCAAATGCGATATTTAAAGATATAAATGAAGCTATCAGAAATTTTTGCCAGTTCATTGTTGACACAAGTACTTCTCTTTTCAACTGGCTAATATGATGTGATGTGGTATGTGTGTTTTGGCTAAATATCGTTTGGCTGTCGAGTTATTTGCAATTAGTGCACTCGATTTAAATTGAACAAGACACTTGAATTAGCATATTCTATAAACAGAAGTTTTGTAGCATCAGAAGTTTATTTTCGATCGGATGTTATCACGCACATAAGAGAAACAAAGAGACTGGAAAAAATCGATCGTCAAAGTGGTCCTTTGCATTACTTCGTACACAGCCATCCGCTCACAGAAGGAAATCGGACAAGTCACCTGTCTAACTTTTCCTTCAAGGTGGGGGGTGCAGGAATGTGTGGCCGCCATGGCGAATATTAGCGGCTACGAGTGAATAGCCACAGCAGGTGTCGAAGTCAGAATTGTGAAAAGCTTCCTACCGATTGGTTCGTAGTATTTATGATCAATAAAATAATGGCAACACTCGTGAATGGTTGAAATCAATTTAGAGCCAGATAGTAATTAGAATAATCAAAATGAGAAATAAATGCCTTTAGTTAGGGAATAATTGATTGAAAAGATTATCAAAAGAATCTTAAAATTTGCCGTCAATTGCCCTTACATATCACAATCAGCAAGTATTTGATTTCTCCGATGAACTTTCAAAGTAAGGAAGCTTGTATGAGAGACATCAAAAATTTTCCCAAGCTCACGCAAGACCCGCTGTCCAAAATCATTCTGGATTTCAGTAGTGCAACCAGTAGAAGGTGTAAGACTTTCAGAGCATTCCTCTGTTTTCATTTTCTACAATTTTCAAGCGGGCGAAGGCTAGTGCGAGGCGAGTGTGAAGTCACATGCGGGTTGAGGAGCTCCATATTTCGCGCGCGACTCACGCACTACTCGCGCGTGACCCTCTCGTGACTCGTCCTCCCCACGCGTTCTCCTCGCGTTTCCATCTACTCTAATGAAATACGTTAATTAAAGTAATTCCGGTTCTACACCCTCGAAGCAAGAATTGTAATTGGGTTTATTATGACCTAATTATTTACCTACTATTATAAGAACATTGAATCCAAATGAAAAGGGATGGAGAAAAGCGCCAAATGGGCTATCAAATTAAAACTGCCTACGAAACAGATTTATATCGCTGCTTGCGTGTCGAGGTAAGACTCTCAGAAGGCAACTGTTGCCTAATATTACATAAAATGTCACTTTGTTACGATGACAAGCCGCCAGATCTTTCTACTCGCTCTAAAATGCATTTGCATATATTTTTACATTTAACTGGGTCAATAACATAATAGTCAGAGAGTAAGAGAGGAACTTTTGTGCTCCATTTACCAAGTTACATCAAGTGCACGGCTAACAAAAGGTACTTACCAACGTACAATTTACTTGGAATGAAGAAAACCGTGACAAATGCAAGTAGCATTTTCTCAAAACTGGAGTTGGATGCAGTAAGATGGGATAAGAAAAGGCACATCCCACTAATTGAGCCGTTTGTCTGTCAACATTCGCGACGAAGCAATAAAAAGGCTCCCCTGAGAAAAAATCCAGAATCCTGATGAAGAAATCGTTGAAATGTGAAAACCATTGCTCGCAAGGTTTATCTTCTTCCCAATCCCAGAGGAGCGAGGTTCCGAAAAATCCTGGCTAATTTGTTCTCGTGGTAAATTTAAAAATTCTGTTTACACGTATAATAATCAAACTTTGCTTTATCTATTTTAATCACCCGAGGGAGGGGTGAGAGAGCTGAATGCTTTTGCATTGGGTGGCCTGTGTTGCGCACAACCCCACAAATCCTTGCGAGCTGAAAGAAACAAGAGAAAGAACTGGGTCGAGTATTCGAGCGGAAAATTCGAAAATCGTTTGGTTCATAAAATATCAGTTTGCTTTGGGAAAATAAACCTTTTTCTTCTAGCTCATCAAAAAGTCAAATGTCCAAGAAATCTAGGGTGATAAAGACGTATGGAAGGCACAAACACCGGACCGTGAAGGCTCAAATTTGGCTTTCTCCGGAAGAAAATGTTCATTCCCCGTTTGGAGACGGTTTCCTTTCCAAAATCGAAGCAAGCTCTTCGACCAATGTTTTCAAGCCGAAGTTGTCAAAATGGTAAGAATTTTTTCAGTTATTCCTGGTTAAACAGTTTCGTTTTACCGAGATCAGATCAAAACCTTAACCGGAGCAAGTCGATATATATCAGATTCTTTAAACTCTGATCTTCCAATTTGTTTGTGTCAGGTGGAATTTTGTAATAAAACCACTTTGCGATCTTCCCGTTTAAATATTCCCTGGAAATATGAAAAAAAAAATGGCAAGTAGTGTTTTATTAATTGTAAGCAATCTTATGGTTGAGTGTTATATTTTGTCAGGTCTAAGCCCTCAAAAAAGGACGCAACTTTACAAGCATCATTCGAACACCAAAGCTGTGCGATTCCAATCGTTAAGAAACAAAAAAAAAGCTCATCTAATTTACTAATAATCGATGATAAAGAAAACAGCCATAATTCAAGTTTGTCAGCTGATGACCAAAAGGAGAGGAAGCTCAAGAGGAAAAGGCAAACATTGTTCAGTAATTGTACGCCGCTATCAACACAAAGAGGTTTAAATGTTGTGGCATCAACTAATCAATCGGAAAGTGAAAAGCTGGTGGTCAAAGAACCTGACGTCGTTTTGGTGAATGATAGCTTTGAGAGTAGAGAACAAAGTACCTGCCATTTCCACGATGTCATTTGTATTGAAGATAGTGTACAAGATGTTGTTCTTCAATCTGAATGCAATCACCCTTCAAATCTAAGTAATAATATTTCAAATGGAGGGCAAAATTGGAGAGGAAATGATAATGCATTCTGCAATTGTGCTTCAATATCAGGAGACAGGGAGAATTATGACTTAGGAAACAGAGACTGCACCCAAAGTAACAAAAGCAACAACACAGTTTTTCAAATTGACAGCTGCCACTCAACCTATGCCACTTCAACTCCAGTATTCAATGGTGAAAGTTCTCTAGCAGTTGGAGAAATGGGCCAGTCAGATTCCCAAAACTCCTATTCAATAGATGGTAAGGTTCTTTTGGAACCAATTAGAATCACACCAATTCAGTGGGAGAGATCATTATTATTGTTATCTTCTACTGAAAAATCCAGCGATGAAAATAGTAACCAGTAGTCAGCTGATGATCACAGAAATTCAGGGGCACTTGAAACTTCAAGCTTAACTCACAGTAACAGGACATCCAAAGAGATAAAAGAGTGTGTTGTTTCCTTGGAGAAGTTAAGGATAACACCCTTAAAAAAGAGGGGTAAATATCTCACAACAACATTATCTGGTGATGGAAGCCTTCTGTTTGTTAACAGAGGGAAGTCCCAGCTCTCATTTGCGGTGAGTGCATATTATTTTATCAATTTTTCTGAACTACTGATTTTTGATGATGATGATAAGCTGAGCAGATAGTAAATCATCAGCTTGCGCACAATCAAATTTATTTAAGACATGCTATATATTGGTGAAGAAGAGTATCTTCAAAGTCATCAGTTAAATTATTATACTTACCAGGGTTGTCACCTAGTGCTGGCTGCTGGCAAGATTTGCCAAATGAAAAAGGCAGATCACCAACTGGAATTTTGGCTATTGATGGCTTCAGGCGCAATGGGCATTTCCAAGGTTGCACACTCTACCTTTGAGCCGCCTCACTTGAAATTTCAGCTGGCAACATAGTTTCTTAGTTGCACCCCTGACTTAACAATTCTTTTTTTAAAATTTCTTTTGCTTTAAAGGAAGCCTTAACTCCAGTCAAGAAAAACATCAGCAAAACAGACTTTGAATGGGAATCTGAAGTAGAAAAGGAGCTCACTAATTTTGAGAAGGTGCTAATGGAGTGTGATCAACAGAGGCCAATGAAATTTTCAGAATTCCTTGACAAGAGGTAAGCATCAGTTTACAGTCAAACCTCAGTATTAAGTGTCATTATATTAAGTGATCACCCTGTACAGTGGAACCTTGATTTAGCAAAGTGCCAAGGGACTGGGGAAATTGGTTCGTTATATCGAGGTTCTGTGGCATACATTTTACTTTAACTTTAGCCGGACTGAAACTGAAGTATCGTTCATTATACGGAGGACTTCGTTATATAGAGGTTTGTTAAAATGAGGTTCCACTGTATTAAGCAGTCATTGCCACTAAGTCCCAAATTGTTTTCCTCTTAATCAGTGTAATTTTCACCCTTATTTACCAGTCACCTCTGTTAAGCAACACATAAAGGAGGGGTATGCTAATATAATTATTGACCATTTTCGAATATCCTAATATTCTTAACTTTTATTCTTTTACTGCATGTTGATAGCTAGGTATTTTCCTATTATTGTAATTACATTAATTAGGAATTTCTAAGTTATTGCAATTGTTTGTAACTTCTTATTGTAATTTAGGTGAGGGCCACAGGTTTCTCAGTCCATGACTATAAAGTGCTTCCCTTGTCAAATAAATTTATTTATTTTATTTATTTAATGTCACCCTTTACTGTCCCAAAGGCTTGTTTGTATTGTATTCCACCTGTATCAAATGGTCAATTTTATGGGTGAATAACTCAAATAAACTTATAATCTTTCAAGTAATTTTTAATCCTTCTTTCTTTCCCAAAATCCAAGTAAGTAGTATTTTTGAGCAAGATTCTGTACATTAAGTGTTCAATTATGGCGTTAAGTGTGTGTGTCATTCTTTATAATGTTCCTAAGCTTTGGAACCCATATTAAGCAGGGAACCTGTATCTGTCGCTTGGCCATTCCCTGTGGATGACCATTTAATACAGGTTCAACTGTATCTTGATATCACACAAAATTGTCATACCTTATTCAAAAGGAAATATTTAGAATTCAGAAAAGAGAATGAAGAATTACCATAGGTCTTAGGAGTTCAAGAGCTAAGTTACAGAACCATTAAAAGTAAGTTACACTGTTGTACTAGATAAAGCTGATACAACGTGAAATTTTCCTTCAATGCAGTCTTCTGGAGAGCTGTGTAAAAATTGGAGAGGGAGTTTATGGAGAAGTCTTCAAAGCTCAGTATGAGAATGGACAATCAATTGCACTGAAGGTAATTAATATTGAATGTATTGTTTATTTTAATGTAATTACCACCTCTGGCCAATGATAAGCTTAATATATTTCGTCTTTTGTGCAGTAGGTGTGCAGTTTAGCTTTTATTTTTGTTTTGTTTTTTTTTTTTATATATATATATATATATATATATATAATATGTGTGAGAATGTAATTGCACACATTGTGGTGATTTGGTAATTCAAATTCTTTCTTTGGTGCCAATTCGAAAATTCATTTCAAATTGCCCAACCTGATTTATTTTCTTGACATGTAATTTATAGAGATGAACATAGAAGATAACTAGAACAGGCAAACTGGTAAAATGTTGGTGAACTTAATTTATTTACCAATTTCTGGCATGTGACAGATTGGTAATCAGCCACTTAAGAGTGTCAGCTAGTGTGTCACTGGTGCTATGTACCTCTGGCATAGGTAGATACCAGGTCACTATCACATACCAAAAATATGAACTTTCTTTACACCTTCCAACTGTAAATGCAGCCATTTCTCTTAATGAGACCATTGTGTTTTCTGGTTCTAAGTTCAGTCTGGCTATGGAAGTTTTAACTGTATGGTTTCATGACTGAGTCTGAAATTCAATATCTCATTCACAGATCATCCCAGTTGAAGGTAATTTTCAAGTGAATGGTGAGCCCCAGAAGTCATTTGAAGAAATTTTGCCAGAGATTGTTATTTCCAAGTAAGGTTCAAAACTTCTATTTTGAATTGAATTCATAAACACCAATGATTTGAACTCATACGATACAAAAACCCTTATGACCGATTCGATAATATTATTATTGGTGACACTGTCAACATTTATTTTAATAGGGAGCTGAGTTTACTTGGAGATTCCCATACAAATGTAAGGATTAAAAAGAGATTTCTATCTGATAATTTGTTTGTGACATTCTGTCAGTCAAATAAATTCAGTAGCCTAAAAAGTTGTCAGTTCATTAATTTATAGCTTCAGAACAGGCATAATTTTGGCAGGTGAGTGCTGANATTCTTACAAGCGGGACTGTTATGTAAGTGCTAATGTTCCTTTCCTTGTGCTTTTAAATAGTTTTTTTGTGAGTTGGTTTGAGTTTTTAGCTAGCTATGCATCTTGCCTTTATATCGGAATGTTTGGAATGTTGGTTTGTCTATTCGCATTTAGCTTAGCTTCTTCCTTATAAATTCATATTTCAGTTTACGATAAGTACTTGGATACCACGACTACGTTAAATAAAACGATTCAAGGCTTGTCCGTAATCAATCAATCAATCAATCAATCAATCAATCAATCAATCAAAGTTTATTGTCTAACGTGAGGCATGGTTGCCCAATTGCCCGAGCCAGAGGCTCATGTATAAAACGGTAGACTATAAATTAACTATAATTAAAGGTATATTATTAGAAGTACTTAAAACTTTATAGGTAAAAATATATAAGTTTAGAGTACGAGTGATAATTGTAAAATTGTAGGTGATTAATATTGATAGTTAAAAGAGTCTAAACATTATGTTCGGTGAAAGATATTGCAGTAGATGAATATGAATAAGAATGACAATGTATGTGTACGTACAATAAAAGTCAACTACATGTATTACATTTACAGATTGGTCCTAGAGTGCTAAAATCGAAATTCTTAAGTTTACTACAAAAATCGCTAAGCGAAGATGCTGTTTTAATTTCTCTAGGTAAACTGTTCCAAAGGTGACTAGCTTTATATGTAAAGGAATTATGATACGATCTATTATTATACCCTGGTTGCACTAGATTTACACCTTTATTCCTTAAACTATATCTAGATTCCCGCAATTTAAAAAAGTTTTTAATATATTCTGGACCGTTCCATTTAATTCATACATTTAAAAAGTAAAACCAAGGAAATATAATTTCCTTGGTTTTAGGCTGGGGAGAGAAAGAAATTTGTATTAAGGGGGTGAATTACAGTCAAAAGGATGGTGAGGGGGAGGGTGGGGTAATAGAGTGCCTTTCCACACACACCCCCACTCCCCTCCTGCGGTGCACTCTAACTCTAAACCAAACATGTTTGGTCGATCACAAGTTTGTAACGTTAACTCACTTCAATAAGATGCCTGCACCTCTGGCTGGCTAATCAATTTATTGCCATTTTGTTTTCATGTATATAGGACAATGTGTCTTCAACATTCATCACCGTCCGCAGGTTGGTACCACACTTTACTACTTGGCCGCACCATTGTTGACTCTTTTTCTTGCCTGGGTAGTTAGTGCTTTTTTGGGATCTTTGAAACATTGATTCTTCATTTTCATTGAAGACCTAAACAGCTGCTGACTAGAAAGGGTAATTTTTTTGCTCTAATTCTAAACAAAAACAAAGCCTTACACTAAATGTAGTGTCTAAATTTAGACACTAACATCCAATTTTAGATATTAGGGTTCGATTGTGGACACTAATGTCTGATTTTGGACAATCGTTATGGTGGCCAATTTACCACTTCAACTTTGTTGATATATCCAAGTTATTTGGACACTAGGGTTTGCTTTTGGACACCTGTGTCTGATTTTGGACACTAGCATCCAATTTTGAATATGAGAGTGTGATTATGCACACTAGTGTCTGATTTTGAACATTTCTGTCTGATTTTGTTTGCTACTGTCTGATTTTGTTTGCTACTGTCTGATTTTGTTTGCTACTGTCTGATTTTAGACACCAGTGTCTACTTTTGGACATTAGTGTCTTATTCTAGACTCCAGTTTCTGATTTGGAGGCTAGTGTCATATTTTGAATATTAGTGTCTTGAATTTGGGCACAAGTGTCTGCTTAGTCACTAATGTCTAAAATAAGAGACTAGGGTTTTTTTTTTAAGAACGAAAATGGTGTTAAACGTTTGAAATAATTAAAGCCTTAAATAAGCTCAAAATTAAGTTTTCTTCACATGGGTAAATAACCAGACAAAATGAAGGGCCAATAATTGGCAAGACTGTCATTGTCCAGCCATTATTTTGTACCTGAAAACTGTTGAATTGGACTCTTCACTTTGCACATTTCTAAATGCTAAATTTTATTTCTTTCTCTTTGAATTTTATTTGTTGTTAAGTGTAACGTGCATCCAAGATGAATATCCCAGCCATCTGATATCTGAATGGGACAGATGGAATGACAAACACACCTCAGAAAACGACAGGCCAGGTAAGAGCTACTAAATAACCTGCATTGACATCTGCTTCCATGTTTTGCGCATATACTTGTCCGGGCTTGCTCTGTAAAGTAGAAGTTAACCGTTGGACCCCTGAAAGTGACAAACAGTACGGTCATGTGAATAAAAGAGATGATCACCAACTAAAGAAGCTCTTGATTGTTGATCAAATTCTCCTTGACAGCACCTTTGAGTGCGTGAGGTAAACAGTACGGAGAATATGCAAGCTGATGTTAGGGTTAATGGAGATTAATTTTTAATTGCTCAAGTCTCCCTTGCAGTTTGTAGGTTACTTTTGTTTACTTGCTTGTTGCGTTTACTTGTTCCTTGCGTTTAGATACAAATTTCGCCTTTTCTCTCATCCCCAATAACACTCTGCATATTTGGGTATTCACGTATCCCTTAAAATTAGAGATATAAAGCGACTGTTACTTTGTTTGCTTTGAGGTATTTCCTCATTCTTTAACCATCCACCTGTTATGTGCCGTTTTGCTTTTGTTGATAGATATCTTCCCGAGTGATCAGTTCTTTGTTGTGTTCGAGTTTTCAAATGGCGGTAAAGATTTGGAGAGCTTTGAATTCAACACCCTGTCAGAGGCGTGGAGCGTACTGCATCAGACGGCCCTTGGACTAGCGGTGGCTGAGATAGCGCTGGAATTTGAGCACCGAGATCTGCACTGGGGAAATGTTTTGATTTGTAGGACTGCGGACGAGTTTGTAGAGAGCACTTTGCAAGGAGAGAAAAAACTGGTACCGAGTCATGGTGTCCGAGTCAGTCTGATCGACTTTACTCTCTCACGGCTGAAAAAAGGTACCCAAATCTAAGTTTTCATGGTTTTTTCCTTAATTAGCTCTGTGATTGATCGAGGGAACTTGGGCCAACCCCTCAACCAATCAGATGCAAAATTCAAAAAACGGCGACTTGGTCGTGCACGTTTTCCCCCTCTCGTTGGCTTGCTTTTACTTTTAGTTTACATTGGCTCTTTTTTTTTCAGAAAAATCTGAAAAGAAACTTCCACTGAGTTCTGTGCGAACGAGGCCTTGTCAAAAAAATGTCACGCCGTCGTATTATCATGTCATGATAAGTTAAACAAGGAATTTGTTTCTTGTTCTTTGTTTTCTTTGATGATCTTCTTTCTTTTTTTCAGATTGATTTTTTTTTTTATTATTCACTTTTGCTGCAGATGGCGTGACGGTGTTTTGTAACATGGCAGAGGATGAATCTCTGTTCACCGGTAGAGGAGACTATCAATTTGACGTGTATCGACTCATGAAGAAAGCAAACAAGTACGTACTTTTTTAACTGCGCGAGTACCAATAAGAAAATTTTGGTATAACAAATAATAATATAATAATAATAATATAATAATAATATAATAATAATAATAATATAATTTTGGTATTTCACAACGTAAGTTTTATTTTCCTTACTTCCTGTTTCATAGGAACGACTGGGAACCGTTTGAGCCTCACACAAACGTGCTTTGGCTTCACTACCTCGCCGACAAAATGTTAAAGAAGAAGAAATACCATGGAAAAGATAAAGAAATGGAGACACAGCTAAAGATGTTCTTGAGAAAAGCAAGAAAATGCTCTTCTGCTACAGACATTGTTCATGAGCTTTTCGCTTAAAATGAAAAATCAAATTCCATATAAATATATATACACATTTTTTTATACTTTATTTTTTTACAAACCTGGCTTAGGAAATAGTTTCTGTGAAACTTTAAAGAAGGGTTGAATGTTTACTTGTCATGAGTAACATATAAAGTATACTAGGACAAGTAAAGTCGAATTCAATTTGTAAATAGGTGATGTTTGGAATTTTTAGAATATATATCATAGCGCTTAAATTGTTGATAATCGGTAAAACGACGATGCCTTTTATGTACGCTCTGTCTCCCGCCAACAAATTGCATCGTGAGCAATTCGGAAATAGGATATAAAGAAAAAAATACTAATTTACCACTTTTATCGACAATATCGTATTGTACAAACCGGGTTTCCTTTATAAATAGTAGCCAACATTATTAAAATTGCAATTTATTCAGAGAGATCGTAATTTTTTCTCCATTTTGAGTTGTAATTCCAACTGCAAAGCAGAAATACTGAGAAGCGAAAAGCATGAGAAAAGGAAATAAAAACTTAATTTTCCATTGGTAATCGGGCCTAGAACAGACGAACCTGTCTGAAATAATACAGAATAGACCTGAACGACCAATCCCGTCCCTGTCTCAAACAGACGGAGCTGTCTGATAATAGACAACCTTCCGAAAATAAACGGAAGCAAGCGAGGTTCGATGAATTCAAAACTGAAGGAAATTTTCAAAAATAAGCAGGCCACGCTACTTCGTTTTTAAGGCACTTCTGCAAACGCCCGCGGGTGACAGTTCATTGGTTCTCTGTAGTCCTATGATTTCCCAATTATGTGAATATTAGCCCCAGATCGACTGCTGCACTATATTTGTATTACACCAAACACCTTATCAATTTGCTGTCAGACCGCTGTTTTTATCTTATCGCTGGCAATCTCTCACCTGTTCGATTCCACGAAGACTGGCACTAGTTTGTTGCCAAGTACAGTTCAGAATCACAAACAATATGGCGTCTGATAGGAAGGAACTGCGTATCTGTGAATCTCTTTCTTTTACAAGCTAAAAACAGGCGTATTTAAGCAGTTCATCCTAGCTTTTAGTAAGGAAGAAGGAGGAGGACACATTTTAGACGTAGATTATCACAATTGTACCAGGTGTTCCCACTGATTTTAAAAATGGATCACAAACGTTTGCTAAGTTGTTGTGTTGAGATTTTAGATTCGTTTAATCCAAGGATTCATGGCGTTTTGGAACACCTTAATACCTGCTTAGCAACGAAAATGGTAAGAAAAAATTACAATTTTTTTAAAAGAAAAATTTTGACCATAATTAGGTCCATTTTACGTTTTTATTAAGGTAACATATGGAACTTGATCATGCATCGATCTTGTCAAATTCGACGAACAGTTAATTGATGTCTCATTTTGGTGAACTTCTGTTCTCTTTAGGGTCTTGGAGAAAGTGATGAATCGTTTCTAACGGAAGTGTTTTCTGGATGCGTGCAATACACAAATATCCTAAAGGTTTGTGTTCCAGTGTGATCTGATACAATTTACCCATTCAAAACCATTCAATATTGCTCTAAGATGTGATGAATTTAAATTTTAGCTGTTGCAATGACCGTTATCAACTACATGCAGTATAGTATAGCTGTACTTTTAAGTGTTATGTTTAATTATAATTGTGTCACACCAAAGCTGCCTGAAAGTAGTGATTTACATGTACAGACTCTGAGGTTCTAACTTCCACTGTTAGATTCATGTACACTGCTAGGTGGAAAATACATGCAAGCCATGTGTAATTTCCATAGCAATTTTTGCTAGAGTCAAATTACATACAGACTTTGTGTAATAGTTTGTGTAAAATTTTAGGTGCACATTATTTGCATGTTAATCTGCCATCTTGCACACATTTTATGCAATGTAGATGCTGCTATTCCTGCAGCCTCTACTGTAGTTTAAAGAATACTACATGTAGTATTCACACAGCAAGAATGGCCAGCATTTGAAATATCTAAAAACTTAAGGTACTAATAAAGCTTTCTGCTCTGAAGACTCTGAATTTTTAAGGTTCTCCAAACCTGAATTATAAGTTTTTTTTATGTTATTTATCAATAGGTTGTTGTAGATGCATTCTATGCTGATGTTGGTAAGACTTCCCTTCGTGTTGACAAGAATCTATATACTGGTGAGTGCTCTAAAGATTTTTTCTAACCCTCATACCTGTAGTTTGTTGTAGTAGTTAGTCAACCTCCACTGATGACCACCTCTGTACAATGGCCATCTCTCCATAGAAGCCACTTTTTTCGGTCCCAGTGTGCTGTCCATTCATTACACCCGTACCAGTCCCTATGACAGCCACCTCTCCTTGACGGCCACTTTCTTCTGTCGTCAAAGTGGCTGTTGTGGAGTACAGTCTGTACTCAAGCCAAGTGCCCTACCTTACTGGAGCTTGTCCAGATTTCCATAGCATGAAGCATCAAGGAACACTACTGCTTCCCCCCTGGACAGGATGACTATACAACTTGAGGTTATCCCCACCATTTTTTTCAATTTACTAGCTAGTACCCATTTACAGTGGATGGAAAGTCAGGCACTGTGAAAGTACATGTAAAGTGTTTTTTCCCAACAATGAACACAATGACTCAGCCAGGTCTTGAATGAGAACCTCTCAACCATTAAAAGTCAAGTTCACTGGTCAGCTAAGGCCACCACATCTCCCACTATAGTACTTGATTTGAAGTATAATTATTCAGCTGGTTCTATTGACATGGGTTTCGTTTTTCTTTCAGTCCTGGTGTACTTGGCTCTCTACAGACTTGATGAACTGGGCATTGCACATTTTAGGAAATTTGTTATGAGCTATGAAGCAAACAAGATGCACAAAGTAAGAAATGCAGATTAGCATGAAACTGTTTCTTCTCAGCATAACAGCATCACTTTTGTCAATTTGATATATGATGATGTCAATAACCACTAAGTAACGACACCTAAATTAGCATTAATTATGTAAAACTGGAATAAAATATGAATCTAAAAGCTTTATCTGAAATTATTTAGCTAGTCTTGTATGTGTTACTAATCTATTTACAAACTGAACAGTAACAATTGCTTCTAATTATATCTTCGAGGTTTAGCTTTCTTACTGATCTCTTAAAAGATGACAATGATGGTGAATTCCTAAGGACTTCAGGGAGCTTATATTTAATTTAATACCATCATGACATTTTTAGAAACTTGACCCTTCATTCCCTATGGGTAAATGGGATGACTACAGCAAAATTCTCATTACAGCATCTCTCTACTCAATCGAACATTAAAGTCATGACAATAAGGAAAATGATTGCAAACTAAAAACACTTTAGGTGGTTAAACAAATTCTCTTTTTTAGTACCATAGGAAATGAAAAGATAACTGTGCTGACAATATTCATGAACATTAATGTTAACATTGGTAGTGGCCTATGTGTGTAATATTAAACAAGCTTGGTTAGTTAATAAAAGTTTTATTATATTGCTAGAAGATTTTGCTTTATTAAGAACTGAGAATGACTTGTTTACTTAGAGAGCCGGGAAAGAGGAAGCTAACTATGTTTGTAGCACATCAGACTCACGAGAGTTTTTTTTTTTTTTTTTTTTTTTCTTTTTTTTTTTCAACTATCATCCACTGCTTTTTGCATTTCCATCGGCAAATGGAAGAATCGAAGAATGTCCAAGAGTTACAAACATAGTTCTAATTGTATTTATTTCATGCGCAGGATCAATGTCGGCAATCCTGAGACGGCAAGATGGCCCCATCTTGCTCACTCAGGTAGCCAAACAGAACACAGGATATGGCTTCATCTTACCCACGGGTGCTGCGAGCAATGTAATGAGAGAGAATATTGAATCAGAAACACAGGTCCAAGTTATGGTACACTGATGTACATGTATTATCTAACAGTCACCTATACATGTTATGTGCCTAATAGTATGTGCTTATTTGTGAATTTTATTCCTTTTTTTCCAGTTTCTCTCATTCTTGTTCAATGAAAGCAACATAATGACATGGATGAAGGATGAGGTAATTTTAAAACACAAATTACCTGGAAATTTCTTTTTCTCTCAGCTTGTCATCAAAACTGGTAATTTTACTTTCCTTATCAAAAATTTTTAACCATGAGAATGCTTTTTTTAATTTTTTCCTTCAACAGTGGTGTAAACATTACGAACACAGCTATGTTCAAACACAATTGATATCCCCTCTTTTGAGGCAAGTATTTTTTCTTAATTTGATGCATATTGACAGGATTTAATTGCCTATTAATTAACAAGTATTAAGCAATGGGCATGGTACAGTGTAGATGAGCTGCAATTTACAATAAGCAATCACAGAAAAAGAGAAGAGAAGGGCAGGATTTTCCTTTAAAAGTTGTTATAACTGAAACAAGTGCTTAAATTGCTGGCCACCTTTTAGGATCATAATGCTTTACTTGATTTTCATCTCCAGGTCAAAGTAAACTTATTTCATTAAAATTAATATCCACTTTACAGTAGCATACTAATAGTTGCTAAGTCTTTGAACAGGAGACTGGCCAAGGTTGACCAGTTGTTATCAAAATGATACAAATGCTGCTGTTTTTCAAATGCCAATTACTAGATACTGGTCTCTATTGCAACAAGGTCACCTTCAGCTTCACTCCAAAGCAAAGGCTTGGCAACTAAGTGCCAAACTTATAATAAAATTGTCTATTGTTCTTCAGTGAAAGTGATTGTGAATAGAAATGAATATTTACCAAACAACAAATTAAAGTGGCCTCATACAATTACCAGTTTATGTATTTTAGAAATGATAATCATAATTGATAATTATTATTTTGTCTTTTTGTTTCAGGTGGCTGCCAGAGTTAGATGGTCTTGTTACTGATTTAAGAGATAAATTAGCTAACAAACAGAAACCAAGGCAATCAAAACCAGCAACAGGTACACGAAAAAAAAGTACTCAACCAAGGCTAAAATGGTTTTGTTATCTTGAAACTCAGGTTCATAGGTGCAGAATTGCCAGCTGCATTTCTTTTACAAACATGTACAGATTAAAAGAGAAGCTTTAGCGAGAGACTGCCCCAATCTATTTTTTTTAATTTATTTTTATTACCAGCGTTTTATTTCCATTCATTTTTCATGATGCGATCATGATCCAAATATGAAAACTGATCTGAAATGAGATCTGTTTCTCGATCTGCCCTAGAACCAAAGCCATTCAACCTGACAAAACCAAGGCCCAGAAGTGTTCCTATGCCAGAGAAGGTAAGGAATTCATGTATATTTGATATTTCTTTCAGAATCAGCAGTGATAAGTTCTGCTATAGAGTACACATGCACTGTACAAGTATAATTCTGTATTTGTATTGTTAAGAAAAAACTAAGCAATTCTCTGTATTTTCAGATCCCAAAATTAAAGAAGTCAAGACAGGTGAGTGTCTATCAAGTTTGCTGAAGTACTGTACACTGCAAGTATAGTATATGTTGAAATTTTCCAAAATTTTTTGCGAATGTGGTGTTCAAAATTACTAGTACAATCTACTTACAATAAAATATATCCCAGAATCCTTCTCCTTTTCCAAACAGAATCTAAACTGACATAATTTTATTTTAATAATTTGAGGAAAGGAGGGTGCTTTTTTTCATTTTTATCTTCATTGATTGAAAAGGTTCCTCAGACTACGTATCATGCACCTGTTGAGGAAGATGTTATGGCAAAGATTAGAGAAGAAAATCGCAAAAGAGCTGAGGTAAGTACACGTATGAATGCCATGAACATTAGATAGATACATGTTTACAGCTGTACCCTGTTTTCTGCAGAGCTTCTTCTTCCTCTAAAGAGGAAGTGCTCTTGCCATGAAGAGCAGCATCATTCAAGACATGGTTAACCTGACCCACGGTTAGTGCAAACTGTTTATTTACATGTAATTTTATAGCTCTGCACAGGGATTTTCCTTAAACTTAATTTTATTTTCCCATTAGTTTCACGTCATATTGATAGAAGACCCAACAAAACCTTATGTGCATTCCTTTGTATGAGAAATTAAAGCCCCGGGTAAATTTTAATCCTAGATTAATGCTAACCCGGCCTTTCAAACAACCTGGTCCAGTTGTCACATTGATGTTGCAAGGCTTAATTAGACTTTTAACTCTGTACACCCGAACATCAGTTTGCAAGTTCTTTATACTGTTCTGTATATTATGTTGCCTATGGTATTTACAAGGATAATTTTTGTAATAATAAAGGCAGTTTCTATAGTTGGTGATCATTTCCTTTGTTTCCATGACTTTGATGTTTGATTCTAGGGTGATAATGTAGGAAGAAATATGATGCTTATCACTTTCAGAGTTAAACTTTCACAGTGCATCTCCCCACCCAGGAGTTTAAACAGATACAAAAAAAAAACTGTCAGAGATACTGTCAGAAGAATTGCTGGAGTGGCAGTCTGTAGTGTTCCAAGAGCAGAAATGCCTTAGCTCGATTAGGCTTCAGTAGAATGGTTGTCAAGTTTTTATGACTTCACCCTTCTCTCCCGGAAACAGGAGGAATTCTTAAGATCCTCGGCCAGGCAACCTGCATGTGCTAGTGCTGAGAAATCTGCTAAAACAAAACGAAGAATGAGACAAATTACAGATGAAGAGAACTCCAAGTGAGTAGTCTAATTGTTAACACTGGCCTTTAGGCTGAAAACAATTATAAATTGAAGCTGTTCCCTTTCAAAAATAATTTCATCTTTATTTTTCATTACTGTAGACATACCTTTGTTTGCAGTTACATGCAGATACGAAATGTACGCCAAATTCTAAGCTACAGCTGGTTCTTGTTGAAAAAAAAAAAACAATTAGTTTGGTAGTTTGAATATCAATTTTTTTAACCTTTCTCCAACTGCAGCCACTGTGTACTGTACATGTTATTTTTTTTCCAGACCTGGTTTTCACGGTATATTTACACTTTTGGCATTAATTCGTTCTCCCAAGCTACTGTAGCAAACGATCATCTGTCCTAAAAGTTAATGAATTTTCTCCTGGATTTTGTTAACCTTTCCATTTCAAGTTCTCAATTTTAAGCTTTTCACTGTCTGGTGGTAAATTTACAATCTAGAGCCCCCACTTGACTTGCGCATCAGTTTAAGGTCAACCCATCATTATCTTTACTTTGTTGGGCCTTTAGGCGCATTTTGCGGGCTGAAATGGAGTCCATACTGACTTGTACTTATTGAGGAAACATACCAAACTTGATCACTGAAAAAGCATAAAATGTCATTTCCTCTCTTGCAGGTTACAGTTCAATAAAGTTAAAGCACAAGATGCGCCTTCAACCACAGTAAGACATGACAGCACATATTGTGTATGCACTCAGTAGAAAGTCATCCCTTTCCTATGAGCCTGTGAGCAAAGCACTCATTAGAGAGGTTTAGCACCGTGTTTTTTTTTTATTTATTTTTTTTTTGCGTGAAACAGCAAACGTTAACGTTAACGTTATCACGTTTCACGTAAAATGGCGTGAACCTTTGCTGCTTAGCTTCGCGTGAACTCAGGTCATGGTGGATTTGAACGCGCCTTTGTTTGACTTACAAGGAATAATTTTGTTGCAATTTTTCCGAAAATTAACCTCTATTAGAGAGGTATGAACAGCAAAGAAAATCTTACGTACACGGCAACGCGAAACAGGTTGCTTTCACACTTAGAAACGGCAAAGCGCAGCCGGCAAGCGCGAAAAAATGGTAGGAAAAACAGGGTAACGTGGTTACCCTTGCAGTTCATGTTTCACGCAAACGCAATGCTAAATCTCCTTTATTAGCGCAAAAGAACGCACGTTTCTCCGCCCGCGGGAAGACTTGGGACGAGTCGGGGAGAGGTTTACTGGGACTAATAATAATAATAATCTAATAATGGCACTTATAATCTCATTATCATATCAGTGCTAGACCGCTTGAAGACTTCATGCGGGCTCGCGATGCCTAAGGCGTCATACTTTCCCGCGGGCAAAGAAGTGTTCTTGCCAAAGCGCTCATAACGATGGCCTGCTCGCGGGCTATTTTCCTCTTGAATCATTGAAATTAGCGTTGTATGCTCTGAAAGGAATTTCCCTTCATTCCCTTTCATTCTGTTTCCTCCATTTTCTATTCTTTGCAGGTTTCATTTGTTGTTGATGTTGTTTTTTTTCACGTGTGATTTTATTCCAGTTGTAATATATAATACCTAATTGGCTTATCTACATGAATAACTTATTGTACTGTTTTTCATTCGTGTATGCGCATGCTCTCCAAGTAATTTCCTCTGTTCAGTCAAACTTGTCATTGAAGTATTTATCCTGATGTTTGTTTCCCTCCCGCCTCGATTAGCTCCGCTATTTTGCGGGTTGGGATTTTGTTAGATACGTATTTTAAATGCTAAGATAAATAAATTTTGTTGTTGTTTTGTTATTGTTGTAGTGGATATCTCTTTTGTAATTGGCATTGTGTTTCTCTTTTTCTAGGGTGGAAACATTCCGATCAAGTTAAATGCAGCAACAATCATGAGAGAAGGGGTGCTCTTTCACAAGAAAGAAGAAGAGGAGCTGAAAAGGTAAATGTAGGTAACGAGTACTCATAGTCGGGGGCTTGGATCCTAACCAATCGTCGTGGCATGTTTACGCTGTCACGTGGTCAGATCACATTTCAGATTTTGGCGACTAGTGCTAATCGTGCCATTTGATTGGTTAAAACCTGTCACGTGGTACAAAGTAACGCGCTCTCATTAGTTAGGACCAGCGCCCCATCCACGGGAAGCAACGAGGTTCTGCGATTCATTCTCGTCTTTAGACTTAAAGCGTAACGGCCTGAGAGATTCCTAAACGCGTTATTTACGCTGATGATTTCAATTTCTAATTTCCAGACTGTTAGAGTATGAAAAAGGAGGACGTGATGCAACTGAATTCTTAAGATGGCAAGAAAGTGCGAGAAAGGTAATTGTAATAATGTTTGGGCATTTTCTCGACTGGATTCTGTTCTAGTTATCGAGAACAACTTATTATCCGTAAGTATAATCAGTAAGTATAATCAGTAAGTATAATCAAGATACCATTAACTTTTTCGGTTTAATGCTTTGCTAGTCAAACAGAGTATACAGAAAATAAAACTGTGAAGCGTGTACCAAATTCATTTTATAAAGTTAGGCCAACATTTACTCGATCTCGAAATTGCTTCAGTTTGATTTGTATCTCTTTTTTATTGTAGCACTCATTGGAGTCATACAGAATACTTATTTTTCGTTTCTGTTGGTCAATGTTTTATTTTCCTTTTGCTGATTCCTTCGTAGAAAGACTTGGAAGACAGACTCGCCGAGATTGAAAAACGAAGATTGGTAAGTTGAAGATCTCATTTTCTAAATCTAGAAATGAATAGAACATAATGAACTGTTTTGTCTCTTTTTTTTTTTTTTCTGGCAACAGAAATCTTCGCCTTTAGGTGTCTTGTGTAAAGTGGAGAGTTTTAAGCTGTTTTAGTCTAATTCGTGGGTTTCAAGGAAGGAAAGTTACACATAAAATTAAAGGTGTTTACGTTAATCTTGTGTTTCAGGAAGGAAAGTTGAGCTACGAGGAGGCGATACTGGCAAGACAAACAATGATCAAAGAAAACCAACAGCGGGTCATGGAAATTAAACAAGAGGTGGGAATCATTAATTTTTGATCAGTTTGAAAATAAAGTCCGCAAAATTTGATAAGTAACTTTCTTTGAGCGATTTTCATGTAATTGTCGAAAGTAATATGGAATTGCATTGGTTTTACTTAACTTTAATAGGTGATTGGTTCAAAAAACTTGCGCCATCCTCTCAACCAATCAGATGCCAAACTCAAAACAATCACCTCTCGCGTTTTCCCGCGCTCCAAGCAGTTTGCTTGTCTTCACTTTGAGTTTTTATTGGCTGATGATGATGTAAACCTGTGTTCTGATTGGTCGCTGGGATCACTTTGGTTTTGGTTTTTCGGCACTCGATTGAAAGCTGCTCTAATTTTGGTCGATTCACGCCAACATATTCTGACTTAGAAATTTGTCTACTGTCATCAGGTGGTTGTTCTATAATTCATACTAAAGAAATTGAATTGCTAGATACTTCTAACAGTTTCAAATACGATGTTAGAAAATGTTGAATTCATTTGTCTCTCCTCGCAGACAAAAGAGATGATGCAGAAACATCTCGAGAGAAAGTCGAAGGAAGGTGAAGAAATGAGGTTAGTATTCCTGTGTTTGCCTGTTAAAAGACATTTCAGAAACGTGTTCGCACTAAAATATGCAGAGCGGCAATTCAAAGATCCTGGTTTTTGTAAAAATGTCCTCTTCTCGGAACAGATATTGCCCAAGCAAAATTTCGTGCTAAGTGCGTGACTCCTATAATTTTCTTTAACATTTTATTACCCTTTTCTTGGTTAGGAAACTCGTCGAGCAAACCACGTTGGAACATGAAAATACCAAAGAGGCCCGCAAAAAACTTCAAGAATACAACCAAAAACTGGGTAAGGTGTAAATTAAATTTTTGAGAAGAATGGTCTATAACCTCCAGCTGAGTTAATCTTGTCAGCACTTGGTGACAAGGAGTGCCCCGCCACATCGTTTTCCGGTAATCTGTAACAAAGACAGCTATAAGTTGATAAATCATATTTCGGTTTATTTAGATGGCATGTATTTTCCTATATTTAGTGTTCATTTTCTACTTATTTCTTGGTGTTAGTTCAAGAGGTCAGCAAGGAAAGTCAAGAGCTTATGCGCAAAGCTTTAGAAGAGGTGAGTTGTATCTACAATTTCAAACAATATTTCAAACAAACAATAACAACAATTTCTTGTTGTTATTGTTTTTTTTGTTTTGTTTTTTTAACCCTCTGCACAATCCTTGAATCAACGTTGGAGAGAAAAAGCGAAGAATATCTTTTTCACAGCTTCTGCAAATAGTTTGAAATTAAGTGCAAAATGACTGAAATCAGATGGCAAGAAGTTCAATTTTTACTGTTAGCCAGTTGTCATGAACATTCTTGCAGTTTTTTAAAAGAATGGAATCTATCATGATTGACTAAATGGGGTATCTACTCGTTAAAAAGTGACGTTTGTATTCCACAGGCTGAAGAAGAAATGAGACAAAGAGTTGCGCTGATTGCGAAGATAAGAGCCATAGAAAGTGTACCAGTCATTCGATTTAAGGTATGCCTTGTGTTTCTTGTCTGATATCTGAAATGCTGATGGCACAGTGTCGCTGGCTGTGCCTTGAGTTGAACGCCAGAGAAAAAATTAATTACTGGTCCTAGTAGGTGTGTAGATAACCAACCCGCAGATTACATTCCGCAATTAGCGTTGTTACTGGCAAAGCAATTACCAAAAAATCATAAAAGAATCCATAGCAAAAGTAATCCATGCTCTAAGAGACGTAAAAGTAATTATTACAGCTGAGGCAATATGTGAATAGCAGAATTTATCTAGCATTAAGGTTAAACTTTTTGGGCAGTTTTCTTCAAAATTTTATCATAAGGATCCTCTTCATAGCTATTCTGCGGTCTACTGAAACATATTACACATTTCTTCTGTTTTGTTTTGCAGCACGTGGATCTCACAGAAACTTCAGGAGCTGGCCTTCTCAGTGAAATGTCTGTAGCAGAGGTAGGGTCAACTTTAAACTACTTTATATTATTCATTTTTAAGAGGTCGGTAGGCCTTTGGTTGTTGTTTTCTCAAACAACCTGAGCCAATCATTTTTACCAACTGCAAGGGATATTAATTTACTACTCGAACGAGCAATATTTATATAGATTTCCAGTCGTCAGTTTTCTAACGATTTTGGCAGTACACTACTATTTTCTATTAAGTGGGAAGTACGTGTATCAACAGTCCTAACAGCTTCTTTGCTTGTATTATGTACGAGAGGTTCGTTTTGATAACCAAATAACGACCGAATTATACGTAAGAGTTGTGAAATTCGCTGGAACACCTCGCCTTTCAACTTTTTACTCCGCAATGAACCAGCCATCTTAAGAATAGCGATTCTGTTTTTTTTTTTTTCTCTCAGCTGCGAGAGAGGTTGGCGCTACTAAGAATAGCCGAGAAAGAGGAGCAAGAGGAGAAAAGGGACAATATATTGAAGTCCAAAGTGGTGAGTATCAAAAACGAATGAAACAAGTCATTAGTCCACCTCTGTATGAGGCTCGGCAATCTTCGGAATCGAACGTTTGTTCTTCGTCAGAGAGTTTGCCCTATGGTTCTCGTGGCGTTGGCTCTTCGTCACTCTGGCGAAGGGCTAACGCTTGAAACGTCAGCTTTGAAACTCTGTACAGTGACTAAGTTACTTTATCAACTCAGTTGATAAAGCCAAAACTACCTTGTTACTTCCACTGACGTAGCACCTCCGTGTCTTCAGAAAGTTACCCCTTTTATTCAATATTCGGAATCCCCGAGCTGTCTTCGAAACAAGGGAATAAAGGCTGATAGTTCCCACCAATAACGTAGCTCCATTTTCTGCCTTTAAAAGTACACACAACCCACAATTCCTCTATTCGCTCCGACGAAGGGCTAACGCTCGAAACGTCAGCTTTTGTAATCGTTACGGTGGCTAATTTACCATTTCAACTTTGTTGATATATCCAAATTATGTCTTCGAAACACTACGATTGTACTAAGTATATTAAGATTGTCCTTGAGGAAAAAAAAGTAAAACACAAAGAGAGTGTTTGACTGACCGATCAGATCACACTGGTTTTGTCCCTTTTATTGTTATATGTGATGCAAGCCTTATGTATGTCTTGAAGGGGTCCAATTACCATCATTATGAAATTCAACCGGAAGTTCACTTTACTTTTTAAGGGTTTGTTGGAAGAGATTGCCCGCAGCAAACGACCTACTCCTAAGTTATAGTCCTTTGTTTGTGGTTTGATCCAAGGCTTCGTTAAAATACTTGTACATGGCGTAATTATCATTATGATAATTATCTTTTAGGAAAAAGACCAGTTCCTTATGGACACTTTAGAGACTATCGCCAAGCACCGAGCTGAGAAAGGAAACGACGCAGCCGTGAAGTGAGTCACACTTCACTTCCGTCCATATGAATTATATTACATTATATTACATTATATTAATTNTTTTTTTTTTGCTTGCTTGCGTCAATCACGCGCATTCGCCATCAGATCACCACTGGCTTTTTTACTGTGTTTACGCGCAGTTTAATTGCGATGTGAAAATTAATGGGAGGGTTATAAAATAAATAAACCCCGTTCTGGCTTGCTGGTATGTCGGCTGATAATGTCCTTGGCTGAGAGATTGTCCTCAAAATTTCATATTTGCCCTCGAAGCTTCGCTTCTCGGCCAAATATTCATTTTTCGGACAATCTCTCAGCCGCGGACATTATCAGCCGACATACCAGCCACCCGAAGAGGTTTATTTACTAACTAAGCGTTATTTTGAGGTGAACTGACCGTTTTCCCTTTTTGTGAATCAGGCTGGAGGCAAAAAAGCGTCAAAAGAAACCGGAAGTGAAGGATCCAAAGCTAAAAGAATTACAGGAACGACTGGAGGCAACGAAAGCAGGTTTGATCAAAATACAGTCATTTTTTTTTATTCTACATTTGGTCAAATTACTTCAGTTATGGACCCGTGTACAAAAATTGTTTCAAACGATTGTAAACACGAGTGAGTTGACGCGCTCGTAGATCATTCACATCTAATCCCTTGTCCCAGTAATCATCAGTGTGTCCACTGGCATTGCCAAAGTATAAGGTGCCCGTTGTAAATCTGATTCTGACGCTTAATGCAGACATAAACTTGGGTTGACCTTTAGTGCAGTTTGGACGTGTCAAAATATGACACCGACATAGTTTTGAGATACCGACACCCTTGGGCGAAGTATTGTGTCAAATATATTCGTTACTTTTATATGTTCTCATGTCTAATTCTCGATGAGTACGAGCAAAGGCCTTGCCAATGAATGTGCTTGTAAGTTTGCCTCTTGTCCATTTTTCACCATTGTATTAGGTCATCTATTAGGTCTTGACAGTATGTATTAGACTTTTTAGATTCTTAATCTTAGAGGCACGTACGTATTTTGAACGAGCTCTACGAGCTCCTTGACGCAACCTGGGTAAATAAAGTATTGATTGATTGATTGATTGATTGATTGATTGATTGATTGATTGATTGCATTTGATTATTTTAAACAGAACGTAAGAAAGAAAGCGAACGTCTAGCGGGGGTTCCGAAGAAAAGCTCAGCACGAAGACAAAAGGCTCTACAAGAAGAGAAGGTTGGTAACTAACAAACGGTTAATGTTGGTTATTCTTGTTTATGAAAAGGGACGTTATTTGTACTTTTTTAAGGAGGTAATTGAAGTGGATACCACAGAATCGGGAGGGAATAACATCTTGACTTCTCCAAACTTCAGTTTAAAACTTTTCGGTTAATATTTCGTCAGTGGGAAATGATCACTGTCATTTGCATGCATCTTACGTGAGAGCCGTTCTCTTTTAGGCGACACTGGAGAAGATGAGGTGGAAAGAACTGGAACAAACACGAGAAAAAGCAGCTAAGCTTCGAGGTGAAGGCTTAGCGAGTAGGAATTCGGCAGGAGTGCGGCCAGTAACAACATTAAGGTGAGAAAATGCGAAAGATTAATTGAATTAATCATTATATCCTCGCTGGCAGTACTGTAGGAAATATTTTTCGAAAGGCCTCGAAAAGGTTATGAAATATCATTTCATGCAAGTTTTACAGAATACGAATCCTGTATAATTACCAAGTGTAAAACAGTTTTGCGCGACTGTATGTCAAGTCCTTGCAAATATGCAGATGTATTAAACGACTAAGTGTATTTTTTAATTTTTTCTTTTTGCAGAAATCAGCGGACCCCAACAAAGATTGCATCATAGATAAAACGGTGTTAAATTATATAAGCTACACATGAAGTGACATTTGCTTCTCTCCGTAAAGTCACACAGTAATAAAAATTTACGGTGGTTTAGGTAAAAGATTGACAATTCCCTCCTTTCCATTTTTTTTTTTTTTTCTTTGTTGATAAAGATATTTTGATTCTCCCCCATTTATTTCTGCGAAGTAGGAATTATTCTTTAATAATAAACTAACCTTTCACAAAGGCCGCTTTGTGGAACCTTTTTATCCCAGCCATTTTAAGAACAAATGACGCGTGGGTGGCTGCATAATGAAATTACCCGTTCGGAAATCCTTGAGGGTATTAGACGAAATACTAGTACCTTCTTCCCTCAACTCCCACGAATCTCTATGATAACCAAATGAATTAAAAGGGAAAAGGAAAAGGCGTAAAAATACCAGTCGCAAGAAAATTACAGTCCTTGAATAAATTTTGTTTGTATTTTTTTGTTAATTTTTATCTTTATATTAGTTTTGTTTTGTGGGGTACAAGATGACCACCTCTGTGTTTGAAGGCATTGTGCATCTCTTATCGTTCTCACAGTTAAACCTGCCTTTGATGAAACTGATAAAAATAAAATTGCTCCTGTTATCGAGGTAAAAAAGTTTCCTTTTGCCCCAAGACACCTGCTATCAAAATCATTCTTCAAACTTTGGACTAACAGGAAAAAAAAGCAGCGGCCTAATTTAGTCGGAAACTTTTGAGCAGGTAGTTGAATAAATAGTTATCTTGAATAACAAAGTCCTGTTATGAAACGGGCTTTCTGATGACGCAGTCTCGTTCAGATTATTTTTAATTTCTTGTAAAAGCGAAATGAAAAAGCTTGGATGTCACTCCATCTAGCTCGTGGTTTTCATTTTCGGAAAGTTACCGGCTGATAATAAGATAATTTTACGTCCTGTACTCAACGGCATGAAGAAGTTTTTAATGCTTTTTAGTGCGATTATTTTCTTTCCTGGCGTCGCTGTTTCAAAAGGTAAATCATTATGTTTATCTTTCTAAATTTTTCCCTGGGCAAGTGGTTTAGTGCAACTCCGAGTAATCGATGAGAGTTTTCATATCGCGTAAGAACACGCGTCAGTGTCGCAACAGCCAAACAAATGATAGCTCATCGATTTTGCTGTCCAATTAAGTGGATACGATTTTTGTCTAATCAATTCACAAGCCGTGAACTCGAGCGTCGCAAATCAAGTTAGATTGGTGTAGAGACCAATACGGAAACACCATGGTAAATATGTTACTTTATTTCGTAAAATTTTAGTTCCTTTTTGTGACTTTCGAAGCGAATGAGGTGTAATTGTATTTCGCTTATTTCTGTATTTTAATTGTGATCTATTCTTTCCTTTTATTTAAGTTCTCAAAGCGTTTATTCGTGATACACTTTGGATCAAATTGAAATACTTGTAGTATATGTTTCAAGGTCTTTCGTAACCTGATTTTAACCCCATAATTTTGTTCAACGCAGTAACTATTTCTGTAATGTCGGCTGTGAAAAGACTGCCCTTCAAAACAACGAACGATATTGAAATTTACCCTGACGAGAATAAGATATCATAGGTAAAGAGTCAGTTTGATTCCAAATCGAACATCATCAGGGAGAGATTTCAGTCGATCTGGATTCGTTGACTGAAATTATTTAGCTGTGGTATGATAAAACCACAACCATTTAAATGCTTGTAATTTCATTGAATTCTTTACACCCTAACATCAGTATCCATATTCTCCATACTGTTCTCTAAACGTTTCCTAAGGTGCTGACAAGGAGAATTTGTTTAACAATCAGCTTGTTTGACTGGTTATCATCTTATTCTCGTGACGTTAATGTGTGATTCAGGGGTGATATTGTAAGGAGAAATTAGATGCTAGTCTGACTCCTAGCGGTTAAAGGCCGGGTTAATTACGAAACAAAGGTTGTTTTATTGTGTACTGGTATACGGTATATTTCTTGTGAAGTTTGATGTTCTAGCCGCCATTTTGGAGATGTTGGAGCCTAGGAGAGAGACTGCAACAGAAGGTTTTCTTTGATACTGCGGAGGTCTCCTCCAGTGCCCTTAACGCGCGCTCTGCTTAGCGTTCACACCACGCATTTCTGAAGCATTTATAAATTTTTCTTATTCAATAAAAATTTATAACCATTTACCAACCAAAATATTGCCATCACTGAAATTATGTGCTGATATTTCAGAAGTAAATTTGTATTTTCTTACTTTAGTACTCACTTACCGGAAGTCATTTCTTGACGTTTTCAAGCAATTGACTTTGACAGAATCGCTTCTAGTCCCAGAGGAATTTAATCAACATCTGTTTGAAAAATATATAAGTCGACTATTGTAGCCCTCACCAAAACACACCAAGACGACAAGGAACTGTTTCGATAAGAAATGTTTGCCACCAGGTACGTTTCGCTCATTGCAGCTCTCTTCGCCCAGCTTAAAGCGCATGGTAAGTTACTATTCTTTCATAAAATTCTACCCTTCTCTTCAGCTTGTTTTAGCACGATGTAGATGGAATAACTTTCGTGTGCTCTCTGTTCTGCGCTTTAAAAAAAGTGTGGCGCGGTTGTATCGTTACTGGTTATTCAGTATTTATTACTGGTGCAACATTAGTTACAGACCACAGCGAAACGTGTTCTTGAGTCCTTCCTTTACCGATATCGATGCTTAAATGGAAGAATTCACGAAACGGAGCAAAAAGAATGTTAATTGTTTGTTGCGGGGAAGTTCACACGCAAGCCGAATTTGTGGCAAGATTTTTGAGAGAACTGCCACTTGTAATTACCGAGTAAGGCAGTTAATTTATCGGAAAGAATGGTATGGCAATTGCGTTTATTTCTCATCACAATCAGGGCACATTGTTACCTGTTTGAAGCAAACAGTAATCGGTGGCTGTGTGTTGTGATTACATTTATATCAACACGAATCGGTGCCTGGCAAAAGTTTCCGTGTTTGAATAATCGATTACCTTTTTCTGTGATACAACTGTAACTTTATGTTTAATTTGCGCTGTTACTTCAGAGGAACAAAGTCTCATTTGCACAACTTTCATCCTTTCCCTAACTCAGTTTNAAGGAACTGTTTCGATAAGAAATGTTTGCCACCAGGTATGTTTCGCTCATTGCAGCTCTCTTCGCCCAGCTTAAAGCGCATGGTAAGTTACTATTCTTTCATAAAATTCTACCCTTCTCTTCAGCTTGTTTTAGCGCGATGTAGATGGAATAAACTTTCGTGTGCTCTCTGTTCTGCGCTTTAAAAAAAGTGTGACGTAGTTGTATCGTTACTGGAAATTCAGTATTTATTACTGGTGCAACATTAGTTACAGACCACAGCGTAACGAGTTCTTGAGTCCTTCCTTTACCGATATCGATGCCTAAGTGGAAGAATTCACGAGACGGTGCAAAACGAATGTTAATTTTCTGTAGCGGGGAAGTTCGCACGCAAGCCGAATTTGTGGCAAGATTTTTGAGAGAACTGCCACTTGTAATTACCGAGTAAGGCAGTTAATTTATAGGAAAGAATGGTATGGCAATTGCTTTTATTTCTCATCACAATCAGGGCACATTGTTACCTGTTTGAAGCAAACAGTAATCGGTGGCTGTGTGTTGTGATGACATTTATATCAACACGAATCGGTGCCTGGCAAAAGTTTCCGTGTTGAAATAATCGATTACCTTTTTCTGTGATACGACTGTTACTTTATGTTTAATTTGCGCAGTTACTTCAGAGGAACAAAGTCTCATTTGCACAACTTTCATCCTTTCCCTAACTCAGTTTTTCAAACTTTGAGGATTCTAGTTTTATCCGATACCTCAAAGAGTATTAGGTAACTGAAACACAATAAACCGAAGGCATGGAACATATGAACAATTTTGTCAAATAAACATATTTAAACAGAAGAGGAAAAGGAAAAATGCAAAATATAGTTTCCAAGGAACAAAGTTTTTCAGGTAAAAACCTTGAATTTTTTTGTTGACATTCTACTCAAAATTTGCATTTATACCTATCAGTCAAGCTGAAAGCCCATTGTGATGTAATACAGCTCTATCAGCCTTTTCTGACACCAGTCGAATAAATTCTCGTGCCTAGAGTTCCTTCTCCATGCTGCTTTCTCATGGTTTCGTTTCGCTGCTTTTCGTTGGTTTTTGCAGTAAGCCAATATCTGAAAAGCTCTCGTCAAAGTCGTAGTTATACCTGTTAAGTGGAATGCATTTAAAGGTTTAACATGAGTGAATTTTCTTCCCATGGGAATGACGATAATGCAAGTAAAAGCCGAAAAAGCGATCATAATTACATCTTCTACCATTACTATAATTACTTAACCATACCGATGATTTAAAGCGATAAGTTCTTTTTTTAACAAACCGTAAAAAGCAGATCTTATATATTAAAGCTATCTCGTTCGATAGAGATATTGATCGAGACTTCAGAAGACATTGTTCGAATTTTCATGTACAGCTATATATCCCAACGTCACGAAATAAAGGAGTAAATTCGAAGGAAAGCTGACTATTACTTATCTAACCACGTTTATAACAATTATTCGTCGAGTGCCTGATGAAACTAAGATAAAAAATAGCTATGTCGGGTTCAAGACGTGGAAAAGAAGTAAAAAGTTGTCATTCTAATAAAGACAAATTCTTAGAATGGTTGGTAAAAATGGTTTGTGTAAGTGTTGTGTGATCGCGGTCCGGGTGAGTGTAGTCCTGAGAAGAACTGTTGTCGGTGGTAGTGACTAATGTTTCGACAACCTGTGCGGAAGTCATCATCAGAGTCAAGTGAATAGTCGTTGTCCGTGGAATGTTCTTAGTCCAGTTCGTGTAAAATGATTGGTCAGTTTTGCCGTGATGTTATCGGCTGTAAGACTCAAGTGGCGTAAGTCGGTCGTGAATGGTCTGTTTCGATCCGTCGGAAGAGTTAGGTCTTTCTGTTCGGTTCGTTTGTAATGTTAATGTCGTGAATGAGTCGTTTGTATGGAGTTGGTAGTAGTTGACACCTGTTTAGGGGAGTTTGTTCTAGGTTAGTAAACCAGCTTCCGGAGTCAGTCGTTGAAAGCAGCTAGTGCTGTAGGTTAGGCATTGCGTAGAGTCCCAGTCAATGTCTGTGTTCAGTTAGTCTTGTTACGAGGTTTCTGCCAGTCTTTCCGATGTAGGAGGCTTGGCAGTTGGAGCAATTGATCTTATAAATCGCTCCCTGTCTGTTCCTCGATTCGTTCTTGGCTTTAACGTTGGTTAGTAACTGAAGCAGTGTGGTGATGGATTTGTGGGCGACGCGGATATTGAAGGGCTATAAGATGCTCGAGATGTTCTCAGACATACCTTTTATATGTACGGTTTGGTTGCTGTAGTCGTAGAAGTTGCGACTACTACGACGAAAAAAATGCGAGGAATGCTCTGTTTGACCCATGCACCAACCATTCATATTTCTGGTTTGTGGTATTGGAGCTTAGATTCCATGACTTAAAAACCAATCGAAACTCATTAAATGTAATAGATCTCACAACGGGAGCGGAGTTCGAACGAGGATTTTAAAGAATGGCGAAAATAAAGGCAGTCCAATCAAAAGGCGTCACTGGGTTCCACAAATATATTTGAGCTGATGAAAAGAAGACTTTACAAATTGTCAAGAGTCATTGTTCTTGTTCCAACCTCATGGACTATTACCTGTTTTTTCTTTTTTTTTTGTAAATGCTGCTACGAAATGAACAAACTTTACGATCGTTTTCCCCCTGTAGCTACCACTCCGTTCATATAGGGAAAACCAGTCTCATCGACGCCTTCAAATCCGTAGGCTCCCAGATCCCATCGACCGCGTTTCGTATCCTCTTCATAAATCTGCGTTTGAATCAAATTTCTTTCTGTCCGGCTCCTCTGGGTGGATCAAGTATGCAAGTGGTTACATAAGGTCATAAAGTACGTGTTTCTTTTTTTGTGACAGAGGCAGCCATCCCGTCTTTTAAAGATCAATGCATGAAGTGGCATAATATCTACCGAGAAAAACATCAGGTAAACACTAATGGACTCTTTACACCCTGATATCCGTATCCATGTTCACCTTACTTTTCTCTCATGGTATATCAGTTTTCTTTGGTCCTGACCAGGTGAATTCTTTTCTTGGGCTGGCGATCATTTCCTGAATTCTCATGATCTTAATAAACGCTGACTCAGAAGTATGCTGCTGTGGGGAAAATTAGACGTTGATCATTCAATTATTGAAAACTTTCAAAATCAAGATCACATCCACGAACTGATTTACCCGAAATCGAAAAAACGAGTCTGAGAATCCTACATTTTTGGATAAGCCGTTGTTCTTTAGTTTTCAAACTTATTAAAGATACCTATCCCAATTACTTAAGTCAAAATTTTACTGTTAATAATCAAGTCCACTCTAGAAATACTAGGTATGCTAACTTAATTTAGTTTGTCCTAACTATATACGCAAGACAGAAGGTGGAAACTCTTTCGTAGTCGGAGCTTGCAGACTATGGAATAAATTATCTTTAGAATTAAGACGTAAAGATTCTTCCTCTATTTAAGAAGAGTCTTTTTAATGTAAGTTTTAAAGAACAGTGAAGTCAAAATCATTTTACTATTTAGCTTAATGCTTACTCTTAGTTTCAATAGAGGGCCCAAGTTCATTAGCTTTTAGCTGTTTAGTGCTACCCTCTATAAACAAAGTGTTTACTTACTTACTTACTTACTTACTTACTTAATTACTTTTTTACTTACGTAACTGTGACAAATTAAACTTTGGGACTGACTTAGAAATTCGTTAACAACTTATAGGTCGACCCCGTGACGTGGGATGACACTCTTGCCAGTGGAGCTCAAAGTTGGGCAAACTACTTAGCGGAAAATAATATTTTTAAACATGCGTCTGGAATTCAGCCAGGAGAAAATCTATACCTGTCCGGTTTTCCTCTGCCAGAGGAGCCCTGTACTGAGGCAACACAGCTTTTCTACGGAGAAATTAAAGATTATGACTTCAACAAGCCTGGATTCTCAATGAGCACCGGCCACTTTACTCAGGTAGAATTACTTTTGAAAGGCCTGCAGTAAGGTAAAGGTCATTATTTCTCGCCGGGGTGGGGGGGGGAGGGGGAAGAGGAATCAGAGGAATTTGAGGGGGGATCAAACGGTTTTCAGGGGAAGTGAAGGGGAAAACAGTCGTCGCCTAAAGAGCATTAAGAGGGGGATTATAGAAAACTGACAGCAAATTAACTGCCAGTGAGGGAGGGAGTGGGGGATGGGGGAGAGGGGATCGTATTAATGTTACTTTAAGAGCCTTATGCGGGAATCAGGTAAATTTTATCGTTATACATCTAAAATCCTCCAAACCCCAATCCTCCCTCCCTAGACGATGAAATAATGGCTGGTCCGTTAGGCAACTTTTAAAAACTTACAGCGATTAGGACAAAGTTTTGAGTAAACATCAGGAGACTCAGAACAACTTTAGGTGACTTCAGGCGACTTAAACTTCATATGAGCGATCAAATCAAACTTCTTTAGTTTCCAAAGCTTTTTCGGTCCCCGGAGTTGACGACAGCGGGTGAAAAAGGCCCGTTACATAGGTTGTGATAAAAATTATCTTACAATAACTTAACTTTTATTTTTGTATACAATGTGTTTTTTATTCTCATAATTAAACTCAGCCTCAAATGCCGAGGATTGAAAGCCACCTAAACCCAACAGCGCTGTAGATCCGCTAGAACAAAATACTGCGTGAAATACAGAAGCGATAATTTATCATAGTTGAATACCTTGCCTACGTCTTCCGCCCAAGGCCTCTTTTCTTCCTCTTCCACTTCCTCTTCCTTTATTTTCTCCCACTCTCTCCTTTTCTTCTCACTTCGCCTCTTTCATCTTTCCAAACCCCAATCTTTTCTCCGAACCGTTGCACAACCGGTAGCCGGCTACCTCTACCCGAGCGACAAAAATTGTTACGTTGAGTCACGAATTGACGGTCTTCACTTTATTTTTTTCTCAGGTTGTCTGGAAGAAAACTAAAAAGATTGGAGCAGCGCAGCAAACAAGGAGAGATGGAAGGCTTGTGGTTGTGATTCGTTATTCCCCGGCTGGGAACTACGTCACAGAGAAAGCTTTCAGAGAAAATGTTTTACCCGCTCGATCAGGAAACGGAATTGGTCAAATACATTCTTGTTCAGCCCTCACAGCCTTTCTTGTCGCATTTGGAGCTATTTTGAAGTTTCTCTTTTAATGTTTTCACCCTTATTACGCTATGTAGCAAGGAATTTCAGTTTCTCCTCAGTAAAGAGTTTTAAATTGATTTTTCTTATGTCAAGTGAACCATAGTTAACACGCTGTTAATTATTACAATTAAGTGCAACGTTTTGTTGTTCAAAATTTAAAGGTAGTGGTCAGTTTTGGTAGCTGTTAGAGATTTGCTTTGACAGTAACAAATGGAAAAAGATCTTCAATTTAATGATATGAAAATGATGAAATGAATGTTTGTTCTGCGAAATAAGAAGCACTAACAAGGTTGAAATGTGACATTTTTTCCGTTTCTTGTGTCCCTTTTTTTTTTCACCGAATTTTCTGCATAGGCAAGGAATCGTTATATATCAGAAATCGTTATATATCAAAAAAAAAAGGAAATATATGAACTTCATATATTCATTGTATCTGATTTATCATCACGGGTTTATTACGAATCAACTTAACGGCCTGCTCCCAGTTGGATTGTTAGCTCAATTGGTAGAGCGCGGCACTAGTATCGCAGAGGTCAGTGGTTCGAATCCCGTACAGGCCTGATTTTTTTCAGGTCTGATTTTCGCTATTACATAAATAGCGCTTTCTACTGCGAGGATCGTGCATCATACGTATCTACAACCGCAGTTCAAAATATATGAACTTCATATATTCATTGTATCAGAAATAAAGTCTGAAGGTTTGGAGCTAAATTCCGTCGATAAAAAAAGGCGACGATCGCAATTTTTTCGCTAAATTCTTTATTTTAGGACCGAGATTCTATCGACTAAGACTCAGTCGCAAAACACAGCACGACCTTTTCATTATCTGTTTGGTTATGTTGCGCATCGTTTTGTGCGTTGGTTTGGAGTATCACGCTGATTGTGGTTAAGGTGACAAAGAACATTGTTCCCACTTCGGCTATAAGGGTTTCCGTGAAAACCAGCGAGTATTATGGTTGGTCTGAAATGAAATGAAATTATTTTAAGGAAAGAAAGAATGTAGGGGTAATTTGGTTTTTTTTTTTTTTTTTTTCAAAGAAAATACTTTTTGAAAGTTAAAATATGTCTCTGAATGGAAAAATTGTTTTAGTTGTTTATACCTTCTGTTCTAACTCACCAAGAGTAGTTTTGGAGCGATTTGGTATTCATGTCAAAGTTTGATAACTTTATTATTTACTGTTACTCAGGAGAAAGCAATTATTTACCTTCGCGGTTTTGGTTATTATGCCAAAACCATATTCGTTTGTTGTAGAACACAGACAATAAACCAAATGTGGTAAAGCGAACATGTTTCCAAGTTGTTGTGGAAAAAATTTCAACAAAATAGGGTCGCGTCGCAATGTGGTTTAATAACTTTGAATTTCTTTGTGAAATAAAAAGTGTTAGTAATAACTTTAATAAAGACAGCTTTGTAAGAATCCTACATTGCATTTACCTGATATTTTGTCGCCGATGTTAGCCAAGCGAAGTATGTTAATCAGTCTCCTTTTTCAAAAATTCTGCTGCATAGAACAATTAAATGTTTCAAGAAATTCTCCTATAATTGTTCAAATTTTAAATAACTAAAACTTCTTTAGTAGAACAAAGAATTCAAACAAAATACTCAAAGATTGAAATGAATACAACGTGATGTTTAAAATAATAAAGATCTATTTTGCTTCACCTCAACACTCCCTGTGGGCAAGTGTAAGTTATGAATTATTTATACACTCTGCTTTATTGTTTTAAACGAGTTGTTTGTTGACAGGAAATTAAAAGACTGCTGGATGGAAACACTTCGTAACGACAGAGATGTAGTACACCCCAATCTTAAAAATGCAAGTTTATTTTGCTCTCCTCTGCTTCAAATTGGGTCTGCTGGTAAAAGCTTACTTTGGAGGTGAGATGCGGAATTCAGTTGCAATCTACGACAATTTATGGCATTAATCATGTCTAAGTTAAAGTCACAATGCAGTTGCAAGTTAGTTTCGAACTTAAAAAAAGTTCAAGAATTTTTGATGCTCCGGGAAAATTGTCATAAGAAATGAAAATGCTCTGTAGAAGGCGCGCTGCTCTAGCAGAATCTCGGCTCTTTCGCTTTCCTATTATTTCCTAGCTATTCGTTCGGTAACTGAATGTGTTCAGTCGCGTAAAATGTCTCCTACGAACTAAATCCATGGTTGACGGCTTATCAAAGGTATAAAAGCGCAACATGACCGACTCTTGTTCCCTGGGATTACGCTCTCGTCCAGCCGAAAGCGAAGGAGGAATTTGAGTGCCAACCGAAACTGCCAATAGAGAAGTTCACGATCCAACAAAAGACCGACAAGACTTCATAAAACAGTCCGTTAGTTGCAAAAAGTTTCCTTCGACAACGCATACATAATGAGATGCAGACATGTTTTTGCTCTCTCTGTGATTTGTTCGCTTTTGGCATAAAAATTTATCAGCAAGCCTGCCTGGTAGCGGACAGTAACCTAAGGTTACTTGTGACAGCATTGAGTGTATTTCTTTATTTATTGTACGCTAAGGGGCAATATTCCCGCCGAATTCCGGTTGGTCATGCATTTCAAGAATCATACTTCGGAAATTTGCATCTGTTGGTTGACCGGTTAACGTATGACTATTATTCCTAACTTCTATGGTTACCAGAAATTTCAACTCCCCTGCAGCAAATAGTGAAACAATCAAGTATGGTAATGCAAGGAGGTGCAAATGGTCGAAAAGTCGTAATGTTTACTACCCCAACACGACAGCCTCGACGCAATTTTTTTTTCTTTCTGGAGACGTGCAGACTTATCTTTTTGGTGAGGTATGGGATACCAAATCCTATTGAAAACTGATTAAGAATGCCACCGCGGCACACATCGGCTCACAGATCAATGGCATTAGGAAAGAGGACAAGACTCTGGCAATCTTTGATTTTGAAAAAAGCTGACACCCTAAATGATCACTTCTCTACTGAAGGCGAAAAACTCAGCCATGAATTTCCGCCACTTGATCATGATCATGATAGGTAGTCTAATTAGAACCACACTATTGCGCCCACATTTTCCAGAGTATGAGCCTCACTGAATCGGAGTCATTACACGTGCCTTACTATTTACCAAAATTAAAGTCCAAGACTGCTTGTGGGAACGAGGTCGCACCAAAGCTGTTAAAAATGACCAATACAGCTATTTTCCCTTCGTTGCTGTCTTTCTTTAAAGTAAGCGCTAGCTGCAACGTTGTTCCCACCATGTAGAAAACAGCTAAATATTATATCCGTGAACAAAAAAGACGATGACATCGATAAACGCAACTACCACCGCCAAATTTCATTACTCGGTGTCCCTGGTAAGCTAGTCAACTGTAACGTCCTCCATTACATCACATTTTGCAATCGACAACTTCAGCCCAACTGGCGTACAAGGAAGGCCACTCTACAGAACTGTTACCAGTTTAAAATGACTGAAGATTGGTGAAGAGTGTCGAGCCACGTTTGGGGGCTATCCGATTAGAATTTTGAAATTTTGAAGTTTTCTTAATTTTCTTAAAAATCCTTAGTTTATCCTATGAGCAACTTGCTTCATCCGTTATCTTTGATGAAGTACTTGATGCTAATAACTTCTAGATACTACCCAGGTGAAATCAGTTCAACACGTAATCAAACAGTTTCAAACGCCTAAATCCTAATCTAGCCTTTCCAAGTGAAATATTTTAGCCAGCATTAAATTTTATATTCATATTTAACAGAGGCAGAAATTCCGCCTTTCAAAGACCAATGCTTAAAGTGGCACAACATGTACCGTGAAAAACACCAGGTAAATAAAAACCGTATGGACTCTCACTTGGAGTGAACCGTATGAGCACGCGGGTTACAACAGTGTGCATTGTGGGAATGTGGGGCATGCTTTGCGCAAATAAGATTCATTACGCGAACTCTCTATCTATACTTAATTATAAATCTTCAATAATTCAGAACGCGTCATCGCCAAGTCTCACTTTGGGGTATCACATGGTTTTTCAGGGGGAAAGGAGGGAGGCTGCCAATAGAGTTTAAAGAGTAAACTATAGAAAATTGATTGTAAATTAACTGTCAATGATGGGAGAGCCCAGGGGAGGCTTAGGTAACTTATATTGTGACACAAACAAAATCCCTAGACCTCTCCACCTCCCTTCCCCCCCTCCATTCCGGAGATCGTCTTATAAGTTGCCATGGCAACATTTTAAATGATGATGTCAATTAAAGAGACGTCTGGACCTCTTTTATATAGAGGGCTTGATAAGCAATCGGTAAGCATGGCTCAAACATTGGTTCGTTACATCACACAGGTCGACCCGGTGACGTGGGATGACACTCTTACCAGTGGAGCTCAAAGTTGGGCATATTATTTAGCGCAAAACAATCTGTTTAAACATGCGTCTGGCCTTCAGGTAGGAGAGAATCTGTACCTCTCTGGTTCTCCTTTACCCGAAGAGCCTTGCACTTCTGCTACCCAAGCCTTCTACGGAGAAGTCAAAGATTATGATTTTAACAAGCCTGGGTTCTCCATGGAAACCGGACACTTCACTCAGGTAAATTTACTTTACTTTTTGAAGTTATTTCTGATATAATTGAAAGGCTCCCATACAGATCATTGAGCCTCTTTCCACTGTGGAGCATAGGTGGGTACCGGTGAACATTTCGAGAAAGCTGGCCGGGTGGTAATTAACATCCTAGGGCCCAGTTGTTCTAAGGCCGATTAGCGCTAACCCAGGATTAAATTTTTTAATCGGGCAGGTTTCTTTATTTCTCAGTTCAAAAGCCGTTTTGGGATAATTTTCGAGCTCATTCTCGTCTCTTCTATTTTCTGCCAGGTCGTTTGGAAGGACTCCAAAAAGATCGGAGCCGCCCAGCAAATAAGGGGAGATGGAAGACTTGTCGTGGTGATTCGCTATAGTCCTGCTGGAAACTTCAATACAGACGGAGCTTTCGCTGCAAATGTTTTGCCTGCCCGACTTGATAATGGATCCGGAGTTAGCGGTGTGCGTTCTTCTACGGTTTTCGCCGGTCTTTTGGCTGCTCTTGGACTTACTTTTAATTTACTTTTCTGAAATATTCATTTGAGCTACACTGTGATCTGGGAGTTTCCATCTTCTGTCTAGACATGCTTAACTTTATGAGAAAATTGCTTATTGAGTAAATTTTTAAAACTCATGGTAAACGTTAAGGCTTTTGGCACTATTTGTTTTCACTATTTTTTTTTGTGCGTGAAAATTACATATATCTTCTTCATTTTTGTGTAGATAACGGCTTTGAAAGTATATTTGGCAATAAATCATTGTCCATTATATGAGAGCTTTCACGTCTCGCCACAATATCAAAAAAAACTTGAATTACATAAATTCGCTCTACTTAATTACAAATAAAGTTGAAACTCGACTTACGATCGTGGTCACGTTTGATGAAAACGCAATTCAAAGTATGTTTTGTCCACATCGCTAGTCTGGGTTATTAAAAAATAAAAACGTTCCTTTCTCCAGAGCATGAATAAAACTTTTAACTAGCATAAGTTCGCCCCTGGGTTTAAGTTACCTGTTTGTGTGTAGACAGGTTTTTTTTCCATGGGGTGGGGGTGGGGTGGTCGTAGGTTACCTTATGGTCTTGTAAGGCGGCTGTGAGTTCCGTGTGACTTTTCGTATGATATCACTTCATCAACTTCTCATTTTCACAGGAACATTAAACTTTTCATCGGCCAATAAGTGCCTAGACGATATTGGTGCACTTAGCATGAAGCCTCAAACAATATATTTTCAATTCAGATAGAGAGAAACGAACACGGAATCTTTCGAAACAAAATTTTCACATTCTCGAAAGTGACTTGGTTCTTTGGTCGGGACGACACCTTAACCTCTGTGAAAATTGTGCAAGAAAAAAAACATGCAGATTATAGGAACGGTGCTTTTTGTTACAGCGTTTGTCATAGACAATGCACTTTATGGAGGTACGTTTATTTTGTAACATGGTAAAGTTAAGACCGTCGAAGACTGGCTCTTTGATATAATCTCCTCAGAGGAACAGGTTCAGATGTGTAAATAAGTGATGGTAATAACTGACAAGGTTGAAATGATGTTACACCAAAGAAGTAGCAGACTCTAACGAAGAATTGTTTTTTCATCTTAGAAACAAATTTAAGAATTTGCAATATCAATCAGCCAAGAAAACCTGCAAAAAAAAAGTTCTTGAGATTCTCAGAAATATCTTTATTGTGCATAATAGTATCTGGCACGTAAGCCAAAAGGTTTCCCAAAAATGGTTTTGATGCTAGTGATTTTTTATAAGCAGTTTGCTAGGAACTGACGTCCTCGTTTGCTTTTAATTTCCAAAGATGAACGCTCGAGAAACTTTTTGAGTGCTAAAAATCATAGCGGAAATGATTGGTCATTTTTTTTCGAATAACATGGGCAATCATCAATTACAATTTGGGGGCAGTTAGTGTCAAAACTGGTTAGACTGGATCATAACTCGTACTGTATTGTGAAACTATAGTTAAACTAATCCCAACCAAAAGAATTCAGTTATCTTTTTGTGTTACCAGAGCTGAATGAAGAAACAGCTTTAAAAGCGAAAATTTTTCATACCATGCTTATACTGTTTGTATAAATTTGATTTGCGTTTCCGCTTCCTTCAGATAGTTCTGCGTTTCCATCTTTCAAAGATCAGTGTCTGAAGTGGCATAATATATACCGTGAATTACATCAGGTAAGTAAAATCCGTTGGGACTTTTGAATTAATCAAGCCGTGTTCGCTTTCTCACAAGGCCTTTACGATAGATTCTCAAAAAAAAACCTGGCACGTAACTAAGATTTCTTCCATAATTTATTTTTGTTCACGCGTAACAATTCAATTCACCAATTTGCATTGTGGTTATAAATGACATTAGGTCATCGCCCCTAAGCTAAATATTAATTTGTTGTCAAGGATCTTTGTGGTTTATGAAATAATGTATTTGAGTGGTTGTGACTCGTGGCTTTAACCCACACACAGCCCACAATTCCTCCATTCGCTCTGACGAAGAGCTAACGCTCGAAACGTCAGCTTTTTAACTCTTTACCGTGGCCAATTTACAATTTCAGTTGATATAAGCAAACTACCTTGTTTCCCGCACCGACGCAGCACCACAGGTTTTTTAGAAACTTGCCCCCTTTAAAAGAAATGGTCTTGGTAGACATCTTATTACAGACACACCAACAAATTCTTTAATTTATTTTTATCTTTTCCGAAATTTCTCAGTTTCGGGCGTTCGCGTCGAAATCAAAACCGCTTATTTTATGATGAGCCTCCAGTAAAAATAAAATCTCACGAAAAACTCTTTCTTTAGTGATGTGGTTGGTTCGTTGATACAAAATAGGAATTATCTACAACTCATCTAAGAGCTTTTCACGATGAAGTGCTGACAAATGCAAAGAAATTCCGGTTACGTATTGGCCAATCAGAAAACATCTTGCGGACCAATTGGAAAAAATATTGGCCAATCAGAACAAATGTAAATAACGCCTACAACCAAAACCAGAGAACTCAAAGCATAAACTAGTTTCCGACCTTGAGCGGTTATGACCAAGTCACGACTGAAATTGGCTTTGCATCTGCTTAGTTGAGATGAATAAAAGTAAAGCAGAACCACCCTCTATAAAAATTTGTTAAAAAACCATAATATTCGGCGTACTTTCAACCGCTGAGCGAGCTGAAATGATCCAAGCAAATTCTAATAGTCCAGACAATGTTTTTTCTGCTCCGCAACAGGTCCAGAATGTGACGTGGAATGAGAGTCTTGCGGCCGATGCAGAAAGCTGGGCAAATCATCTGGCAATAAATAATATGTTTGAACACGCCAAAAATATTTGGGAGGGAGAGAATTTATACCTGTCTGGTTCTCCTCTACCTAAGGAGCCCTGCACTGAGGCTACGCAGTTATTTTACGGAGAAATCGAAAATTATGATTTCAGCAAGCCTGTATTTTCTTGGAAAACAGGCCATTTCACTCAGGTAATCTTTCATTATTATTTTTATTTTTTTTGGACGGATTCCCTGCTTTTCAGTCATGTGAGAGTCACACTTACCCTTATTCTCTAAGATTAATTAAAGGTAAAAACCTTTTATTCGCTTTTCTTTTATTCATCGAGCATATGGACGATATCCGAATTTGAGTTTCCTGTTCGTTTTATCCACCCCACATCACCTAGAATAAGAATGGAGGACCCTTCTCAAAAATGAGCTGATTGAAAGTCCGGACTCCTGAAATGAGACTTGCCAGTTGATTTCATCCTGAGTTCACAAGTTAATAAGAAAATCGTTTTTTTTTTATAAGTCGTCTTAAGTCGTCTGAAAACTTCCAAATACCAAAACAAAAAAATGAGGTTACTTAACATTGAACCCTTTACGCCCTAACAGCAGTGTGCTATTCTCCATACTGTTTTCTAAACATTTTCCCAAGAGGCTGACAAGGAGAATTTGTTGAACAATGGACATCTTCAGTGTTTAGCTGGTGATCATTTCTGCTTTACTCTCGTAACCATACCATCTGATTTGGGGGGGGACATTGTAAGAAGAAATTAGATGCTAGTTACTCTTAGCAGTTGTAGAGTTTAAATTCCAAGGGTATCGTTTCCTTGTATTCTTTTAATTCAGTCTTAAGCGACTCATTGAATAAAATAGTATTGCCCCAGGTATAAATATTCGTTAACGACGATTTTACGGACTATCCCTTGTCGGGAACTTCTTTTCTTTACTTACAATTCAGGTATACAAGAAAGTTGACCATCTCAATTCTCTTTTTCTGCCAAAACTATCGAGCTCTTCCGAAAAGTTCTAAAACATGCTTCTTAAATTCCGCAATTTGAGACAATTATAGTAATACGGGAATGCAGTTGCATAAATCCACGCTCAAAAAAATAACACATGCCCGAGTCACGCACGCGTCATTATGGCGCACTTGGGTTCAGCGTTAGTCATTCTGTACAGCTTTCCACCTACTCCTCCCCTCTACTTTAGGGTTAATGTTGGGTTAGGGGAGGGGTGGTGCGCATCTGCTCAGATACTGACATTTACCCTACATCTGTTAGGTCTAATCTCCCGTGGCTTTCCCATGCATCATCTAAGCTTTCCGTTCTTCGTTTTTCTAGGTCGTATGGAAAAACACTAAAGAGATCGGAGCAGCAAAGAGAATTAGGAATGATAGCAAACTCGTGGTGGTGATTCGGTATTTTCCCCCCGGAAACTTGCTAAGTCAGGAAGCTTTCAAGAAGAATGTGCTTCCAATACCTGGGGAGGGCAGAGGCGGGGCTTTTGAAAGGTGCGCTTCTTTAGCGTTCACTGGTTTTGTTTGGGTTGTTGGAACTTGCGGTCAATTTATTTTCTGAAAGCATTTTCTGCCAAAACTAAGTATTTAAAAATACTCAAGTTTTCAAGCTTGCATTTGTGGTAAAACCTGTAGATTACCTTGAATGAAACGCAACCAAGATCTTGATGGTAGACTAAAAAGATTTTGAGTGAGGTATACCAAACACCGGCCACAGCAAGGAGAGATTTTTATTAAGGA